GAGGAGTGCAAGATTAACGATCTGGGTGTTGTTGTTTTGGATGAGCTTCATATGCTTGATGATGAGCATCGTGGTTATCTGATAGAGATCATGGTAACAAAATTAATGCTATTGAAGCAAGACATCCAAATCGTTGGTATGAGCGCCACATTATCGGTTGGTGCTCCATAATCTCAAAATGAAGAAGCTGAAGAAGCGAAGGTTTAACTTATTTCGTCTTACTCACGGACTCATAATTCTACCAGAATACGGAGGTCCTCGCGAAATGGTTGCGGGCGAATTACTATATTTCCAAATATCGACCGATACCTATTCGGGAGCATCTTGTTTACAACAATGAGATCTACCCAGCCACCAGTTCTAAAGAGTTTTTTAGAACAGCCACGCAGTTAAACAAGCCTGACCCGTCGCAACGAAACTCACTTGCGTGCAGAATAATCGACCGATCGACGTATAAGGAGTTGGCGACCTCAACTGCCAATGCAATGGTGTCGTTGGCCTTGGAAACTGCTCTATCCGGATATGGCGCTCTCGTGTTTTGTGGCAGTCGACAAGCCTGTCAGAGTAATGCGATACTCATTAGCCAGGCGATGCCAGACGAAACAATGTTGGACAAAGATCTTTCGGAGCGTCGGATGGATCTCATCGCCGGGTTGCAGAGCCTCCCGTGTGGAATTGACCCTGTATTCCAAAAGACAGTCATAAAAGGAGTGGCTTTTCACCGTTAGTGCTGAGTATATCCTTTTGATGAAAACCTCACCCTTCTTACAATTATTATTAACTTGTTTTTGGGCAATCGTAGATGCTGGCTTAACGACAGAAGAACGCGATTTGATTGCGGAGGCATACGATAAGGGTATCCTTCGGGTACTAGTTGCTACATGTAGCCTAGCAGCTGGTATAAACCTCCCTGCACGGCGAGTTATTCTTTGCGGAGCTCGAATGGGCCGCGATTTGGTTGGGCCAGCAATGCTGTATGTACCCCGCATCATCGTGTACACTCTCACTTTTAGGGCCCATGGCTAAGTTGATCAGACGGCAGATGCGGGGACGAGCTGGCCGGAAGGGCAAAGATGAGGTTGGGGAAACCTACCTTTTGTGCCAAAAAGATGACTTGGAGGCAGTGGCAGAATTATTGGAGGCAGAAATGCCTGCCATCGCAAGTGGGCTAACCCCTGAAAAACGGGGCATTAAAAGGTATAACTAACTAAACCCATGTTAGTTCTGTCCTGTCTTAACTACAGCTAATATCTGAGTTGCTATCAGGGCGCTTCTTGAAGCCATCGCAACTCGACTTGTTTCTAGTCGGGAGACCGTTAACGAATATGTAACGTGTACTTTGCTCTACCAGAATATGGAAACGGATGAGCTATTCTCCATGGTGGACAGTACTCTCAAAGAGCTAGTCGACCACGGCCTTGTCGATCTCAAGCAAGACGAATATTTCGAGCCAACGCAACTGGGGCAGGCTGTGGTGTCCTCCTCGCTCAGCCCCGAAGATGGTATCTTCATCCATGATGAACTGAAGCGGGCTTTGAAATCCTTCGTCATGGACGGGGAGATGCACATTTTCTATATGTTCGCCCCTCTTCAAAATTCAGCCCCGGCTGATATCGACTGGTCTATTTTTCGGGACCAGATGAACAACCTTGATGAGAGCGGGATTCGTGCCTTGCAGCTCGTAGGGGTGGAACCTGCATTCGTGAACAAAATGTAAGTCGTGCTAGAAAACACATATCAATCCCTCCTGGTGACACCGTTGGTCATAACCATAGTTTTTTTTTTTTTTTTTTTTTTTTTTTTTTTAACAAAAACCCTCAAAAGTTCGAGAAGTCAGTTCCCCTAATATATTTTTCCAAATGACAGGGCACAATCCCGGACTCGTATAAAGGACGAGACACTCGCACGCATCTATCATCGCGCATATACAGCGTTCCAGTTGCGTGATCTCAGCAATGAAGTCCCCATATCAACCATCGCACGGAAATACAACATCCCGCGAGGCAATGTCCAAACCCTGACCCAAATCTGCCATGGATTTGCCGCTGGTATTGTCAAATTCTGCCAACGCATGGGCTGGGACATGCTGGCAGTCGTGCTAGATCACATGCGCGACCGTCTGCAGGCCGGAGCGCGAGCAGACCTGTTGGAAATGGCCCAGGTGGCGTACGTGAAGAGTCGAACCGCAAGATTATTGTGGGAGAATGGGTTTAAGACGCTCAGAGCCCTTGCGGAGGCTGACCCGAAGGATTTGCTGCCTGTTTTGATGATGGTGAGCTCGATGTTTCTGTTCTTCCCCGCCCCCCCCCCCCCCCCCCGGTTGGCCAAACAAACCTCTGCTCTCCACTGGGTAGCGGATTCATAGCTTATCTTCCACGATTCTCTTATCTTTCCGGTCACTGAATGTCAGACTAACCATCGCTATTTGATAGGCCCAGCCACGAAATATAGACCTCCAAGGATCGCAACGTATTTCCGCGAAGCTTCTCACGAAGGCGGAAATCATCGTTGGATCCGCCAATAAAATATGGGGTACGTTGTCCAAGGGTTTCTTCTCTTCTTCTCTCGAAATCCCGCGCGCAAGCCATGGGCCACACATAAAAACCAAAAAGAAACGTCTCTCTCTAACCGGTTTCTATCTTCTACGTAACAGAGAGTCAATTGCAACTTGAGCTTGAGGAGTGAAGTGGTACAGCGGCGGTTGGGCCTTGTTGTTGGTTATTTTCTCTACGACATCAAACACAGGCATTGGACTCAGATTTGCGACCTACCATTCATTGGCATTTTGTACGAATTGCATTGCAATGGTTTTTTTCAGCGGCACCCAACATTCCTCGCCCCGGGGCAATAGTATCAATCAATCTACACTTACTTACTACCTACTAGTTACCCCTTGGTATAGTATCAATATTACATGGCGTAAGTATAATATGTTTTTAACTTGGAAGATCTAGAAGCATTTCCATAGACACACATTCATTAGATCCTGATATACCAGGCCCAATTTATTTTGTTATAAACGTTGCTAGGATATGTTTTTTCAACAGGTGTAAAAGGACTCCCCCCTCCCCCATTTTTCCTTGATTGAACTCCTATCATCGATTTGCTTTCTACATGCGTCCTATGTAGAATAGAATTAAAACCCTGACAAAGGTAGTAAGTACACACCAAAAGAAAAGGAATCAAGAAGACGCGGATCTTCGAACTCTGGCACTTCTAGTGTACTTCTTAGCCCTATCCTATGGGGGAAGTTACATGTCATGTACAGTACGTTGCGTGCATGGAAACTCGTCGAGGTTGGATCAAAAGAAGAGGAGGGTTGGGCACGCCAAGCCCTGGTCCGTCTTCCTCCAAGTCATATGTATGTACTGTACAGTACATGTATGTATCTTTTAAGCATAATAAATAGAAATACAAATGAGATAGGATAGGGGGAATAAAAGAGAGAGGAAACCATCAAGGAAACGCACATTTTGATGGCGCGCAACACTCACATTTCCGTATTTTGTTAGGGAGGAAATATATATATATAACTATATCAACAGAATTCACATCGGGTTTCAGGGGCCCCTTAGGCTAGTATTTCATGGAACTCATTTTGAAACACGATATAAACTTTTTTTAGAAGCCTTTTTAATGGGGTGGTAGGGTAGGTAGAGTAAATAAATGAACCATCCATGTCTATATGTGCCTGTTAACTAACGAAAAAGAAAAGGGGAGATAAATAGTATAGCCACAAAATGAAATCCTTTTCCCAGTTTCTTACCCAAGTCATAGGAAAAAAAAAAAAAGAAAGAAAAGAAAAAGAAAAGAAAAAAAAGAAACAAACACATAAAATTCTTTATTTATATTCCTGATTGAAACTGGCCTTTTATAAAGTAGGGAAGTGTAAAGTTGCATGGATGTAGCATGGATGTATAGTACATGTACCGTACATGTACCGTACATATGTGCAATAGGCAAGGTATATCAATCGAATGCTCGCTGCACACTATATATATATATATATATATATGCAGATACAGTACCATGGCCTTGGGGATTGAGGCCGGAGGGGGGCGGTTTAAGATAGACATAACAACTATGGCCTTGGGACTTATGCAGTAACCGCGAATCAAAAGCAGTTTACCCCAGCTTTTGGGTCATTATTGGCAAGTCTTGCAGGGCGTCCATGGGGGGGCCATCTGGAGCAACAAGGCAGGGAGGGGAGGGCTCTTTGTTTGCAGTGTGGGCCATGCTTGATAGGGGTAGGTATAGAAGTGCGCTGGGAATCATTTGCGAATCTCAGCGGGCCTGTACAGAGTAGGCTGTGGGGCAATAAACTTGATTTTTTTTTTAATTCATTATTGATGCGGCCCTTTTGAAGTAGCCAAGGGAGAGAAAGAGAGAGAGGTCTGGTCCTGTAGGCGAGAGCAAGAGGTTCTATCTAGATATAGTCAGCCAGCCAAACCGAAAGGTCAACAACAATGAAGGCAAAAAAAGAGGTGGAAAAAACTCCTGTCCACCTGCGGAAAAACGGTTCAGACAAAAGAAATTCTAGGAGAGGGAGAGGAGATGGGAAAAGAGAAGTTAATTCATGGCTAGGCAGACTAATAGTTGAAATTCAGCACATAATTGAGACATTCCCCGACATCCTTCATCCCAGCCGCCTCAGTGTACATGTACATGTACATACACACACACTACATCGTAGATATACTATGATAAGTCATGTTTTGTTTGTTCGATTTTACCTGGCGGGCAAAAAAAAAAAAAAAAAAAAAAAAAAAAAAAAAAAAAAAAAAAAAAAAAAAAGGTAACTAAATAAAAAGTAAAAAATGATCAGTCCCAAGAACCTCATCCATCCTCGACGCCAACACATCATCCCAGTCCAAGTCCCAGTCCCAGTCAGCAGCAAGTGCAGCTCAGAATCGCCAGGAAAGAAGAATAATTAATTAATTAATTAAAAAATAAAAGAGAAACTAACTAGCCAGAAATTCGCCGACTCTCCCAAGTCTCTACGCTGTAATAATTCTCCCGCCCTCTCCTCTCTCCATAACGATAACGATGCTATCCATAACTACCATACCCCAGGGCCAAGCAACCAAGCTCAATCCCAACGATTGATCAGTTGGGTGCAGTCAGTCCACAATCGGCTCGATTGGCAGCGGCCAATAGTGAGGGCGAGGAGACTCACTCGTGTCAGATGCAGACAGGGTCAGCGTCTTTCGTGCTCTGTTAGTTACAGGTTATCCCTGCCCGCCTGGCGGCGCGGCTGGAAGAAGTTTCAAAGATTGTTCGATGCATTTCTTCTTCTTCTTCTTCTTCTTCTTCTTTTCCATTCCGCTGTGCCTTGATCGTTGGTCACGAAATCTTCTTGGGATATCGTTTGGTATCCATGGATGCCTTCGGGTGGTTGGATAAATAGATAGATAGCTCTTTGGTTTCGCCTTGGCTATTGCGTTGTATTATTGTTTGATGTCGACGGGACGGACATCTCAATAATAAATAGAAATAATAATAACAACCTTGGCAGCAGCTGGCTGGTTAGGAAATCAAAGCCTATTTTATATCTCACAACAAAGGAAATGTCAACCATCAGCTCAACTATTGAGCTTGATTAATATTAATAATAAATAAATAAACTCAATTCTCTATACATATGCAACTGCAACCTGTGTATCACCGCCGCAGCATGTAAGCTACGCAGTAGTAGGCACTGTTTGATATGTATAGGCAACATGATAAGATACAGTATCGTACCGTATGCATGTATACATTACACACGAGTTATTACCTGTCCCCAAAAACAAACGACCAGCAAACGAAGGATACTTACTAGTCAAGAATACTTCTGGAAGAGCGTCTCCCCGCCCCATCATCTGCATCATCCATCATTCCATGGCCGAGGATCCACTGACAAGAATAGCGGCCAGGGAAGACAGGGCACGGCATGGGTTGTTCCACCCCACTCGGCGTACTTACGGAGTAACTTAAGTTATGTATCTCATTATTATTATTATTATTATTTCAGCGATTCGGCGGACTGCCAAGTTGCAAGTTGCAAGCTGCAAGCTGCAAGCTACCACCAGCCCATTCATCTTCATCTATCTATCTACCCGACTAGCCCCGGAAATCCCCCAAAGTCTTAGCGATATACGCAGTAAAAGTGAAGTGCTCTCACACTTAGCCGCTTCTGGTTGGGGCCAACGCTTGAATGATCCGGCCCCACGGCGGTTTGCTGCTGCTATCAACGACGCTTTGGTTGTGCTTGTTTTTCCGCCTCTTTTTTGCTAGTTGTGCGCACACGAGGCTGGTTGGTGACTTGTGAAGGCGTCGTTTATTTATTTTTAATATTGATCTTTTTTTGAGGCCTGTGGGATGGGATATCGGGGCATGAGTGGGTAAATAATGCATCGTAGAAGCTTGGTTCTATTTGTCGTGGCGATAAAAGAGCCCTTTCATTGTTGAAAATTCCCTATCTTGCTTTGCTTACTTAAATGGATAAAAATATAAAACATACCCACAGCCCGTCCGTCTAACATACAAGCAGCGTACAGCGTTAGACCCATACATAGTGCGCGGATAGGAAAAGCAATCATTATTAATGATCCATAACTCCACAGGAAGCTGTCAAAGGTAACAAGGAGCGAGCTGGGCTGCACTATTGATCTGCCTTTTGATTCAAAACGGCCCGGCCGGGGCAACAGCGCGGGGAAAAAGAGGGAACTGACAAGTTCTTCAACTGCCGGCTGGCGCAAATTACAGTTGAAGCTACTCCGTAGTTATCCTCCCTTTTGATCAGTCCAGTTAGTCCGGAGCCGACTCGGAGTAAAAGGGGAGAGAGAGAGAGTTTGTTCCCCCTCTCCTAAAGTCTCTCCTAAAGTCTCTTCCCAAGAATAAGAATTTATTATTTTAGTTAGTTAGCGGACGCCACTGATTTAGTGTTACCTATGACTTTGTTTTATTTTATTTTATTTTATTTTATTATTTTATTTTTCTTGCTGTTCCTTTGTACGCAGTAGTAGAGTAGTAGCCCCGGCGGGCGGAACTAGGGATTTCTCTTCTTTTTTGGGGCAGAGGAATTTTCGTTAGTGCAAGCGCAGTTTCTGGATTCCGGCCGAGGGAGGAATCCTTCTAGAAGCATTATCGAAGCGGGAGCGGGAGAAAATTGTATGGCTGGCGGAAGTCCAGTCAGTCAGTCAGACTCATCAGTTATTCATCAGTCATTCCATCCTGGCCCCCGGAGGGGGGGGGGGGCTACATACCATACCATACAGCGTACATATATGGATCCATCCGGCTTGTACTAAACAGGCGCAAATGCCAGGGGGGGGGGGGGGGGGAAAAGGGAAGTGTGCTAAATACGAAGCCAGCAAGGAGAGCGAGTGAAGTTTCATCTCAAATCGGCCGGCTCTCTCTGCATGCCTCCGAAGGTTAAGCTTGTAACTTTTGTAACTTTGTACGGAGTCAAAAGTCTGTATGTACCTGAAGCTAGTCCGCACATTCTATGTAAGCACAAACAAACAGAACATGTCCGATGCGCCGATGAGTCCATGGCTGGAGTGTTATTATCGGTCATGCCGCCCGGCGACGCCGTTGAATCTTTTGGGGCCAGTCATGTTCATGTTTATTGTACGGAGTATACTGTAACTAGTAGAGTAGTAGATAAGAGGGCAAAAACAGGGCTTCCATGATTTCCATCTGAACCAAACGAAAATAATTTATAGCCGCAGCCTACTAACTAATTTTTTTTTTTTTTTTTTTTTTTTTTTCAATTTATTTATTAAAAAAAAAAAATAAAAAAAAAAAAAAAAAAAAGTTGGTCCAGACACGACATGGCCAGCTTCTCTTTTTTTTTCCCTCCCCTTGGGCGGCAATAATTAATAGTGAATGGAAGCTAACAAAGAATACGAGAGCGGGGGGGATTTTTTTACCTAGGCCCCAAAAAGAGGGCTCATTAGTATTTCTTTCTTTTTTATGCTCGAGACCTTTTCAAGCAGAGGGCTATCTAATAGATGCCTTTCTTGATGCAGTTCGGCTTTTTGTTGTGAACTCCATTAACTGTGTTATCTTGAAACAAGTCAACGGACCTGAGCGCAGAGCAGCCCAGTTTATTGGTTCCTTTTGAGTTAGTTGTCCTTTTTTCTATTTTCTTCTTTTCTGTTTTTTTCTTCTTTTTTCCCTTATTTTCTTATTTCTTGTCGTGTGCCACCCAGGAGTCTAGGACTTGTCTGGACCAATCCAGGAGTAGCTCGGCTTCAAGGGGGAACGGGTCAAAATGAGAATTCGGAATCCCATTCCATTGCTTCCATCAAACAACGGCCTTAAAACAAACAGTGGTGGCATATTGTGTATGTACAGGGCTCATTCTCCGAATACCCAATTCAAACTTTTCGCTAGCCATCTGCGTGCTGATCAACCGTTTGAATGTCCTGTCCACGGCCCCTACGCAGCGTGCATCCATCGTTGAGTCCAGAGTATCCGTAAGCGGTCCAGCCTTGTGCGCACTTCTTCCAAGGCTAGATATCATATCCACTCTCATACAGCTCTTCCAATAACAAAATGCCACCCAGGAGATAAGGTAACTTAGAGCATCCCGTAAGTGATGACGAGGGGATAAAATTCCCGAGGATCATAGGGTGGGTGAGCGATTTCTTATTTGCCTAATCTGTACGGAGTACTCCGTACACAGTACGGATTACGGACGCGGAAGATGAGGTCTATGACTTAACCCGTTCGGAGCTCGTCAGAGGGCAGAAACCGACAGCCGGGTTTGAAATCGGCCAAGAGTAGTAGGTGGTATGGTATAGTGGGTAAGTCGAAGTGTTTTCGGGCGACAACACACACACAGCAAGCTTCGCGGATGCACTCGGCGCATCGTCTTTGTACTGTACCTGCTGCGGAATGCCCAAATTCAGGTGTTGTGGCCACGACGGAAGAGCTTCTAGAATAGTTTTAAGTAATTTTGATCCTGGCTGGGAGGGTATATATTACATACCAGCCCACTTCGAATAAACAGAAATAAAAATAAAAAGGCTAGATAGAAACACAACATTGATCACAATTGATATCAAAAGGGAGTAAGAGATGTGTATGTATATCTGATATCTGATATCTGATATCTGATATCATCGATGTCTCCCTTTTCTCATGAGGATGCGATATAATGGATCTATCTCTCGCCCCCCCCAGTTTCGAGGTTCGCCAAGACAAGAACAAACAGAAGAGAAACCTTCCTTCCAATGAAAGTAAAAAGTAGAAAGAAAGAAAGAAAGCAATAAATTCCCAGGTATTACGGATTACAGCCTCGTACAGAGCCAATTACGACAAGTTTCGTCTCTTGGCGGATTGCGTAGCGTCATCTTCATCTCGGCAAAGTGGCTAATCGACCGGCCAATTGCGCTAGTTACCTAAACGCTCCTTTGTCCCACAGGATTTCGAGCCGGGAAATTCTTACCTAGGGGCCTCGGTGGCTGCGTATGGTATGGTATGGTATGATATGGTATGACATTACTTGATATTGTAAGTAACAGCTCACTCAGCATCTGATAACCCTAGTTACTCTACAGAGTGAGTACTCTTACTTAAACCAACCTTATTATACCATACCATACCATACCCATACATACCATACTCCCCGCCCCGTCCAATGTTAGCCCCGAAAAATCCCTGAACCCTTCTGGAAGGTTTTGTCAGTCTTGTCTTGTTCTTCTTGTCTTTTGTCTGTTCCAGCTCACTTGCTTCTCCTCTTCGCCCTCCGCCGCCGTCTCTCACTCCAACCGCGTGCGTCGCAAACAACAACTTCACCACTTGCTCCCAGCGCCCTGATATCGCTGCTCGAATCTCTCTCTCTTCTCTCCGCCCATCGCCATTCCCTCCTCCAAGATCCTCTCTGTCGCATCTTTCGCGTTCGCCGCCGGCCCATACCACCATACCGCAGTTTCGCCCTCCCATCAACCAATTCCTCGACCGATCTGAAAACGGCCTGTCGAGAAAAGGTTATATTGTTGGTCGGAAGAACTTCGCCCTGTATACACATACATACACAGATTTCTTCCTTGCAAAATCCTCTCTTCGCACCCAAAGTGTTGAAATCCTACCACAACCCCCCCCCCCCCCGCCTTACCATCCCGAGTGCGTTCGCCGTCGCCATGTTTTTATAGGAGGGTCGATCGTGCAGTTTCCCATCTCGCCCAAAAACTGGTCAATCGCTGGGCAGAAAGACCCCGTTGGTTTGCCCGGCCACCCTCCTTTCTCTCTCTCTCTCTCTCTCAGGGGCGTCTACTCAAGTCCGGTCCATTCGGCTTAGGTAGGAACCGGATGTTGCACATACATCCTCAATACTTCTTTTCTTTTTTCTGAGGGCGACGCTGGCGCCGCTGGATTTCTCTCCTAATAGACGTCTTGGGACTCGTTCAGTCCGAATCGGGAGGAAAAAAGGTTGTCGGTTTCGGGTAGAAGAAGTGAAGGAAGCTGAAAGGTTTTTTTTTTTTTTGATATAAAAAGCAGGAACCCAAGAAAATACAGGTGGACTATATCTTATATTGGTGCTCAGCGGGACACCCGAAGACAGCAGAGAGGCTCTTTTCCAGTGAATTTATCTTCACTGCGGATAAACCCCCCGTCGACTTCGCTCTGAGAAAGGTTTATTTTCCAGAAAAACGCCATATCTCAATTCCAGCAGCATGGAGCTTGGAGAAGCTTGCGCCGTATACCTAGACGACCGTGTGAAGGATGAACGTTGGGTGATCAAAAACACCGACTCGACTGCTGGAGTAACCACCTACTCCGGTCTAGAAACCTCAGCTGATGAAAGCGGCGAAATTCGCACCAATGTGCTACTTTTTCTTGGTGTCTTCAGGAAAGGTAACGTAGTCGTATATTCCTCGTGGTTTTTTTTTAGACCACTTTGCAGCTGATACAGCCTGCGGCAGAGTGTATTATTTGGATTTTAAAACATGTTGAAATTTCAAGAAATTCAGCTAATGATTGGTTGCCTAGAAACAGTTTACCTGTCTAATTCAAGAAAATCATTCGCCGAACAGTTAACGCAGCTCAATATTACTTGTCGGCCTAATTCCAACCCCTTATTCGCCCTGGTTTCTATCGTCGTCAACGGTTCATCTGAGCCACTATGGCAATCGTCTGAAAGTCGGTCTCTTGCACCACCACCCGTGCCATCAACGACACCCAACACAAAAGTTGGACGATTTCTACGATTCTCGTCCGAAGCGGATGACTTCTGCATGCTCGAGCTTCTTGCCAGGTTTTCGGCGAACGTGAGAATTCAGACTGAAGTGAACCTTGCGGTTCCCGTCGCTGTGTTACGCTTCATCCGGGAAGACGATGAGCGTGGAAAATCAACATATTCAGAAGCTACGGCGGAGGATATAGTAAATGATTTCCCCTTGGTGAACAGATGCATAACTCGTTGCCTGGATGCGGGCGCCGTCGATGTCCTTACAACCCCGTTAGAGGCGTCAAGACTTCAGAGTCTCTTAGTGCATGCATACAAAATATTTAAAACAGCTAGGAGGCAGCAATGGCGGGATACAGCAGCCGGGAGACCCACAAAACACTCATGGGTTGGCGCCAATGACCAACAACCGTACTCCTATCTTCGAGAGACCATGTAAGTACCCTTAGCTTAGCCCAGTGATGAGCTCGCTCATCATAAATATGACTCTACTAATTAGTACTTCTAGGGTGACTAAACTGATGAAACGAATATGCAATCCTGACGAAGAGGTCGATGAATACCAAAGGTATGGCTCTCTCGGTACCTCGTTACATGCCAATATATTTACCTGTACCTAGTGACCTTCATATCCTGGACCAACGGAAACGGCTCGTTGAGGCTGAAATCGGCAAATGGGATTTCGCAGCCCATGATTTCTCAGAGGACGAACTTGTTCATGCTGGAACAATAATGCTAGAGCATGCCTTACAGATGCCAGAGCTAGAACCCTGGCGAATCTGCTCCGGTGAGTGAATGTTTTTGTTATGAATACTACTTAGTTCTTTTTTGGGGATCTGGTCGCAAGCTTACATGAACTTTCCAGAGGAACTCCACTCATTCTTGCTTGCCACTCGTGTCACGTACAATAGTTTTGTCCTATACCACAATTTCCGCCACGCTATAGATGTCCTACAATCGACCTTTCACCTTCTCGTTAGCATCGGTGCTTTACCCCCTTACCCGAATGGAACCAGTCAACGTGCGGGAGTGAGTCCAATAGCATCGTTGTTGACTCCCTCCGACGCTTTAGCTCTCCTCATCACGGCAATTGGACACGACGTCGGTCATCCGGGAGTGAATAATGTCTTTCTCGTCCGACTGAACGCTCCACTTGCCCAGCTATACAACGATAACTCTGTTCTAGAATCTTTCCATTGTGCTGCGTTTTCGCAACTTTTACGATCCCATTGGCCCACAGTTTTCGCGGATGCGAAACTGCGTAAATTGATGATCAGTTCTATCCTTGCGACTGATATGGGTGTCCATTTTAAGTTCATGGAAAGCTTAGGCAAACTTCAGGAGAAATATCACAAAACCAATTCGACGGAAGGGTGGACGGACCAAGAAATAGAGACCGATCGGGTCTTACTCTGCGGCTTGCTAATCAAATGCGCCGACATTAGCAATGTGGTACGTGACTCGTCTCTCCGCCCGTTTTATGTACCGTACTCCCGTAAACTAACCTCTCTACTTGTATAGGCCCGCCCGTGGAGCATTGCGAAACGATGGACAAATGCCTTGCAGGAGGAATTCGCCCAGCAAGGGAAGATGGAGAAGACCATCGGAATGGAGACAGCGCTCTTCGGTGGCCCTCCGGAACTTGGAAATATTCCCAAACTCGCCAAAGGCCAAATCGATTTCATGACAATATTTGCACTGCCTCTGTTCGACAGTATGGCTGACCTGATACCCGAGATGACATTTACTACAGTAGAAATAAGACGGAATAAGTCGATATGGCGGGAAATCGTGAATCGAGATGTACAAAGCAGAGGGTCCCTTGAATTGATCCAAAGCAACACGACACCGTTGGCACAATCAGAGTCGGATCTTAGGAACCTACAGGGAGGCGAAACCCCCCCGGAGGGTTCAGCTGTTAATATTGATCGAACCCCTCCTGCCTCTTGGAACTTGCCACCAGCCTTGAGCCAGTTACAGCTGAATAAGGATATGCAGTGTGGAACGTATGAGCCCAAAGAAGTTGATAAGGACTGTCAAACTCACAATGACTCGTCCGGTGTCACTCCTCCCTTGACCATATCGACGGGCGCTTCTAGATGTATTGAGTCAGCCGCAGATGACAATCAAGCATCTCATTCCCGGCGCTACCAATGTCATCGGCCGTTCCAGCGTTCATCCGGCCGCTCATCGACAGTAACTACAGTGAATCGCCAAAGCGAGATTACGAGCGGAACACGGACCCAAAGCACGAGCACGTATACAAACAATACTATCATGACACCTATCTCTTCAACGACCCAAGCCAGCAGCCTTAGTAGCGTAGGTACCAGTGATGATGAACATGGTTATGTGCGCCATGAATTCGACCACGATCGGGCAAATCGTCTGCCAAGCAGCTGTTCTGACAGCGTGGTGGACCATGATCGGGCCACACCCGCCGCTGCTACTTCTGGCCGTCCAAGCCTTCTTCACACCTACCATAGTAACGTCGAAGATGGGAAAACTCCACACTTCATGGCTGCCTTTATCGATAAAAACTTCGGCCACCACACCCAGGGGAATGGCTTTACCATCACAAACCCAACTTCCTCCACCTCCGTCAACTACATTCCGACTGATTCGTCACACCCCTCGCATCACGATTATGCACCAGTACACCACCACCACCACCATCACACTCAAGACACGAATGGAGTCAACCACCGAACTGTTCCGCGACGACGTAGCCGCTTACGGCTCGCCTTTTGGCGCCGCAACAGGGAAATCGCCTCCCCTGAGCATGACTAACGGGTGTCGATAATCACTATTTTCCTTCCCAATTTTATATTATATAAGGGGTGAGGGATCGATTCTTCTCTCTCGCCTCTCTTATATCCTATGAAGTTATATTATTTTTCCCCCTTGCATCGGCACGTCCGGTTAAGTCCGGTTCTCCCGTATATTTGTCAATGGATTTTTTTTTTTTCACTCATAACGAGTGCTCTCTCGGATTCTTTTAGCCGGAGATGGAGTTTTGTGGTTGGTGTTTTATTCTCTTTTAATTTATTTAGCCGTGGTTCTTCTTTTGGAATAAGCGGGACGGGGATACGAAATACCAGGGGCGGGCAAGGCGTGGCGGTTGGATGGGAACGGGGGGGGCTTTTTTTCAGGGTTTGTTGGGGGAAGGGGGGCGGCGAAAGGGTTTTTTTTTTTGGAGAAAATCATGATCATGCCAAACATCATCTCATTTTTATATTTTATTTCCTCTCTTTTTGTGTTTGTCTTTATTTCTTTTCATTTTTCCATTTCTGTCTTCTTTCCGTTATACATGTATGTATATATATTTTCATCCCTTCTCGGTTTCATTACCTTAACTTCCAGGTGGGCACTGGCATGCTTCGTTTTTCCCCTTCCGTTTTCTGTTTTTTTCCCTTTAAGCAACGGGTTGGGCGGTCGGCGACTGACTGGCTTCTTTCTCCTGATACCTTCGAATGAATTACGGCATGTCTTCTCTTCTCTTTTTTTTTTCCCCATATTTTTTTTTCTCTGGACTCATTTGGATATTTTGTCTATATCATTATTTCGAGTTGCATACTTATACTTGCCACGATATGGGCGGTCTTTTGTGACTTTATCTTCTTTTCTTTTATTTTTCCTACTTTCTTTTTTGAACATGGTTCCACACTAGTGATAACTATTCGCCTAGTACATCAAGTCCGGTACACACATACATAACATCGTCTAGAAGACCAAAAAAAAAAAAAAAAAAAAAAAAAAAAAAAAAAAGGAAATTCAGAAATATCGACATCCCCACGCCTCAAGTCGGGCGCTTCATTCAATACGTTTTTCGAAGAGGGGTGTGTCTATTGGACCCGTCGTGAATAGTTAGGCCAAATCGTCCATACACGGGGACGTCACTCATTCCCTTCAGCTTTCATAGTCATATCCCACGCCCTTCACCTTCACACGCACCTTGTTGAGTGGTAGGGGAGGGTCCCCCCCTCCCCATTTGAACACACCAAGTAGAGAAGAGACACATAGATAGCTCCATATAACCAACCTCCCTCTCACTCACAGTCCTTACAAACATCGGTAATGGCAGTAACAGGCGGAGACGATCCGTTCTGTGCCTGGGTCTGCGTAGGCATCACGTTCATGTCCGTCTTCCCCGTAGTATCAGCTCCTCCTGCCTTCCCGTGGTTCTTAGCAAGGGCACGATCAACATGTCCCAGATCCCGCGAGGGATCGATAATGTTACGGACGAGTGACTTTAGCTGTTTTGTTTCTGTTGGGGTCCCGGGGGGGCGTTGTTTTGCGCGTATTTATTAGGAATTACTGGAAGTAGCGAAGAATATAGATAGGGAAAAAAATATAAAAAAATATAAAAATAAAAGTAAAAAATAATAAATAAATAAATAAATAAATAAACATACCCGGAAACCCGCCCTCCGCTTTCCTATCCCATAGCACGGTCTCCGCCGTCGTGAAATCGACATTAGACTCGTGCAGGATGGATACTGTGAACACGCCACCGGTAGCCGGGACGAGAGACACCTCCCCCAGTGTCGTGGAGAAGGTGGACAGCAGCTCCTGGGCGAACTACACGGGGCGGCGGGTTAGAGAAGCGTTCTCGTTGGAACAGAATATATGTAGATGGGCTACGGATTATTTTGACAGCGTTGTGTTGAGATGAGTTAGACGGATTGGGACAACATACATATGCCGCCCTGAGCAGCCATTTGCACTGCGTACAGTATCTTATGGTCACGCGCGGTAGGTGGACGAGTTCCCGATGTCCCTCTGCTAGAGGGATAGCTATTTGTTGAATTTGTTCTTCTTTTTCTTTGCTTTCTGGCTGTTGTTGTTCTTGTTGTTGTATTGGTTGCGGATTGGGCAAGGAAGGGGTGGACTGGGCTGAAGTTGGGTCTGACATTTTTTTCTTTATGATTGGTTTTAATTTTGTGTCATTGGGATATTGAATTTGAGGTGTGATATGGATAGATAATAGAGTTGAGAAATTCGGTATTGGCGGGGGATATAAGTAAATATTGGCGTCGAGATTTGTTAGAGATTAGATAGATATATTTATATCTTTAGAAAATCGCAAAACCAGCGCACACTTCCCCGCCTCTAATAAATAAGTTAGTTACCCAGTCTCAGGCAGCCCGCCCCCTTTTTTTTCTTCTCTTGCACTTATACTATGCAGCTCAGTTAGTTACTGCACTGTACCTTTCTTTCTTTTATTTTTTATTTTCCCCCTCTTTTCTTTAAGCGCGACAGTCAACCCCAGTGGCCAAGGCGTTGGCAGACTGCAGGATCTTTTTCTTTTGCTTCTACTTCTTCAAAAAAAGTATTTACCATGTTATATGCATATATATTGTTCTAGTGTTTCATTCCCTTTGTGCACCGGAATTTTAGTTAAGACGGGCTGATTTATCGAAGGGAGAAATTCGCCGGTCAACCCTGTAGGTTACAAGTCCTTTTTTTTTTTTTTTTTTAATTATTATTATTGAATAGTTAGTTACCTACTATCTTAACGGGGAGTAATTATATATAACACACTATACCTAGCGTTTTGTTGCCATTCGCTAGGAATAATAGGTCACGTATTTTGGAGGACATTTTGCGTTTGTCCTTTTACGTAGTTCTTAGCATGGGTTTATTTGTTAGATGTCAAGCTTCCATCTCCCTGCGCGTTTGCCTTAATTCGCGAGATAATACCCCCCCCCCGGGAAGGGAAGAGTAGTACATCCACGCAAGGCAGCAAAAAGGCCTTCGCGTATGAAAGATCCAACTAGGAAATGGAATAAGAGGCCACGACCTCATGGAGGGGGAGAGAGAAAGCGGGGCTGATTTCCGATGCCCGGTGCAGGTGTTGCGGGGGTTCGTTCGTATATTGGAGTCTCTATTCGACGTCTTGTCAGCTCCGTCCGTCCTATCTAGAAGACTGATGAAAAAGGCGTTCCATGGATGGTGGATACATTCGATTTAAGACAGAGAGGGGGTTTTGATGTGCAGTGAAAAGTACGAGGATTTCAAAGGTCACGAGAAGAAGGGGGCGGGGGTGGATTTGAATGCAATTGAAGGAGATAGGAAATATATATTTTAGCTTCACTGTTTGCTGCCGTTTCGTCCCAAAATCTATTTTACAAAGAAAAGATTTGATTTGAAGGATGCCGTTCTCTGCTCCAGGCCTTCATTACCCAAGCGGTTGAAGGAAAAAATCAAATGGAGAGAAGAAAAATAAAAGAAAAGGAAGTTGGAAACACAGGAGAGGAACAATATGAATTAATCCAGGACAACGAACAGAGGAGAGCCAAAACCACCTTCATGAACAGTGAAAAAAATATCGAGATCAAGGGGAAATAATGGTGAACATGAGAGACAAAAAAGAATAAACAAAAAAGACAAGATAGAGAAGAAAAAAAGAGCAGAAATAAAGGGGGAAAATAGGGGAATAAGGGTTTGGGATAATCCAATTATGAAAATTGAAAGCGAAAAGAAAAAATAAAGAAAGAAAGAAAGAAAGAAAGAAAAGAAAAACAACCAAACAACCAGAGACAAAAGAAATAAAAAAGCATGAGATGATGGTCCGCTAAAAGAAGAGCCGACGGAAAATGCCAATAAATGGTTGCTAGCCTAGAATGCCAGCCAAAACAATAGGAGGAAATGTGTATTCTTTTTCTTGTGCCAAGTAATTTGGAGCAAGACAAATGCGTATACTCAACATACACAAATACAGGTTGTTTTTGGTGGGTTGAATAAGCCGTCGCTTCAAACACGGTTTGGACACATAGGAGCACCAAAGGCTTTATCGATGCTGCGAGAAGCCTAGCTTCATCCAACTGTGTAAGCGAGTGAGCCGCCCACACCATTCATTTCATGCATGGCCGGTTAAAGGGATTTGAGTTCGTATTCGTTTCAAAGGAAAATATGGTTGCGAGGATGCTGGTGAGATTTTGGGGCGCGCAGTCGGAGCGTGTGGATGGCGGAGATCCGAGGGTCGTTGGGAGAGAAAATTCGGGAGGGGATGTATCTTCGAATGATATGGGTTATAAATGAAAGGAGATGGGCCTAGATGGCTGTGTCAATCCACCCATTCTACATGATCAAACAGCAGCCACCCGATTGTTGAGGCGTGTATGGATCTTCGCGTTTGTCAATCTTTTGAATGGTAAAGGGAGAATTGATATTGATGTTAGTGAATGTTCGCGATTTGCCAGTTTTTCCGTACAGGGTTGCCAAAAAAGGGTAAAGGAGAAATCCATTTACCTGACCCCACACAGAAGGCACCATAAAATCTCTTGTATTATTGCAGTAATTGATGAGTCTATAAAGATGGCAGAAACAAACCAAGAAATTTTTAACAGTCAGCCATCGTGCTTTTCCATACCCCAAAGAAGTCGTGTGGTAGCAAGCAACCTTGTGCTCAGATGAGGGCAGTTACTCGCAATAAAAAACCAACTTGACGGGGCTTCTCAAAGGGCTAGGAGACACTCACGACATGGAAGCTTCAGACACTTTGACTCGCGGACGTTCTAGGTCTTCCTTCAACCTTATGTTGAGCTCGTTTAAACGTCGTAGTTTCAATTCGGCCATGTTTTGTTTCTTGTTCTTTACATCTCCACCGGGTCGAAGCTCGTACGCAGGGGCCATGGTGCGTAAGTGATGGCCCGAATTGCCCTTAGAAGAGGTATGTTGCCACAAGTTGGAGTACGTAGCGGAGGGCTAGGAAGGAGAGAACCCAGGGAGACTGGCGAAAATGAACCTGCACGTCCGTCCGAACTAGAGACGGCGGGCGGAGAACTGGCTCCGAGAGAAAGGCGAGAGCCGGCTCGAAGAAGAGAAAAGCTGTTGATATTCTCGACAGAGGGTCAAGTGCCCGACGCTGGAGCCTCAGAGATGAACAGCAATGGTGATGCGGGTGGTGGTGACGGGAGAAATAGATGGTGGTGGATGGTGTTGGCGGTGGTGGTAGTTCGGTCTGTCTGGGTTGGTTGGTGTGGTTGTTCGCAGGATGGGATGAGGAAGCGAGCACAAAGACGGCGACGTGATAGGATACCAGTCGTACGGCCTGTACGCAAAAGGGGCAGCCAGGCGGAGCCGCTAGTATTTGGCGTCGGGTTAGCGGGGGGTTAGTGGGTTACGGAGCCGTATCGGCAGCGGCTGGGCTGTCATTTTGGTATTTTAATAATCAAACAACTTCCAGGCGCGGACTGCGCGGCGGAGCCCGGCAGATGTCACTCTGCACCTAACTTCCGCAGCGAAGGTACAGTACATGTATGTACAGCCCCTCGCCCGCGCTGTTGTGTTTAATAATCCCAGCATCTGGCCTAGTTGGCTAACCGATTACGCGATGTGACGCTTCCCTCATTTCTTTTCAACATGAAATTAGCCTAAGTTTAAAACATGGGTGGGCTTGGGAGGCGGAGAAGAAGGAAAGAAAGAACACCAAGCAAAGCGAAGAACAGGAGGGGGATGGATGAGGTGCAAAGAATACTGGGCGCTGTTTCGTTATCTCTCAATTGAGTTGTTTGTTCTTCTGCCTTCTATCTGCACCATTATTACGGGGGACTCTGTATATTGTATGATAGTTTCTAACCACTGCCTCTACATCCACCTTAACTGACAAGACTCTCTGCTAACAGTGATCTGTTGTTATTTGGGCTGCAGGAACCTCTACTTTCCTCTTCCTTAGCAGCCCTGCCTGGCGCCGATACCTCCATAATTACCGAGTTCCGTGGTCTCCATCGCATTTGCCCTCCACCAATCCCGGATATGACAGGCCTGAACTACGGACACACAATTGCGACAAGGACTTATTAACGCAACACACCACCCCAACTAACTACTCCATACAAGCCTATGAATTTTGACTCTTGCTTGGCCTTTAAATGCAGGCCAAATCCCTCCCTCTCCCCTTCTCACAAACCTACTCCAACTCAGCTGGTACTTATAATTCCTTATTCTGACATCCATACCTATTATTGGCTGCTGGCTGCTCTGTGCCTCTCCTGATGTCCTGCAGCTGGTGCAGACCGGCCAGAAATGTACACATGGACATTCCCTCCTTTCTTCGTTTAGCGCGGTTTCTTCCGCAAGAATTTCTAGAACGGGGTCGCTTGCCGCTAGTAATATTACGAGGATTTGCTTTTGCGATTTGGCATTTTCCGCCGCTATTATTATTATTAAAGAGGCCGGGTATCGTATCCTTGAGGCTTGACGATAACTAACTTCGTGACTGGCTGACAAACTCGATCCTGGATCTACTTCAGTAAGCAAACGAGGGATTGTTCTATTTTTACTCTTCTATTGGTCTGTACGGAAGTGCATATTGAGTATTTAGTGGGCAGTTAAATGTTTTCCATTCCCCATATTGGAAGTATGAATAATTGCTTGGGCCCAGCACTGCGGCATGAGAGAATTCCGATAAACTCTAGGCGACTGATGAATGCCATTACATCTGTCTCTGCCGGGTCAAACAGCATAACGTCGCCCGCTCTCAGTCGTGCCGGACGTTCGTCACCCTCAGTGTAGCGAACCGCACCACCGATCTGCCATGAGGATGAACGGGATCTGCCGTCTAGCGGAAAATCGCCATAGTCACGGGCGGGACGGGCCTCCTCCCCCAAGGGTACCTCGGGCGCTTGCTCTCTGCGTACTCTATTCCCTTCCGTGCCGTAGGTGAAGCGCGGGGTTTACAACGCTCAACTGGCATATTCAGATGCAATCGGATTTATCTAGGCACATTAGTTAGTCACAAGAAATCTCAATTGTGTAATTGCAGACAGATATAAAGGTGGGATCATCATGCCCGCCGAAACTTTCCCTAATTTTGCTGAACTCATAATGAACGTCATTAAACACCCTCCCTGACCAACAACCAGACCACCGTGATGGATTGTTTACTTTCTTCAATCACATCCCGATCCAGAACAATGTAATTGTTTCATTTTTAATACTTCGCGCCACAGTCAGTATGCCGCTGCATATCTTTTAGCAACAGAATCCGGAGCAAGCATGTCACATGACTACAGAAATGCTGACCTCCCCCGCTTCCCCAGTCTTGACCGCAACTTCATCAAGCGTATATTTGTCTCAGCCCCCGCTATTTTTTTGTGCGCATGAATTTATTTAGATAGGAGGGGGTTTTCTGTTGAGGAATTCTCTGAGAATTCATTCAATGGTGTAACACGCAATTTTACATGTCGACAAGACCCTTTTTATCATTTCCCTGTTCTAGATATTAAGACGCAGCAACACTCCTACAAGCACAATATGATAGATTTGTTGCCAGAAACGGCAGTCATGAGCCCCCCCCTCCTCTTCCTCTTCCTCTTTATTGAAATTGATTCCAATTGCACGTTTTTCATCTAACAAGTTGAATTGCTTATTACCTTTCGAAGTTTTTGGCTTCCCCTCCCAACTGTCGCACTTCCTCGATTAATCCGGATCATTGACACATCCGTCAACGTGGGGTCCTTCATTGAGCAGTCCCTCTGGCAAAACAATGACCCTAGAATATATCTAACTCTGGAGTATCGGAGTATATCGAGCGCAAATGATTGGTTAGCGTTCAATATTCCATATAAATAGACTTGCGAGCGGCTAGCATTGGTCTCAGGGTTGTCATTCGATACGGTTGATATATATAGAGAATATCAGGCTGGAAGAATTCAAGCAGCGCCAATTGTTGGCAAACCATACTCTTCAACGGAATGAACTGTCTTCGTTCCTTTCTTTGTCTTTTTTTTTTTTTTTTTTTTTTTTTTTTTTTTTTTTTTTTTTTTTTTTTTTTGAAGGCTGCCAACATTGATCGATCGCCATGTCATGCATCCGAATGGAAGCTGCTGTTTCTGCGATACCTGAAAATTTCTGGACTCGACGCTCCTATATTCCGTCAGCTTGTTCGTGACGGTTGCCCTGCTTCTTCAAGCCTGTTCCTTTCGCTAGCGAGCGATAGGGTTCAACGCACGGCAAACGGTGATAATATCTGGGTTTGCCATCCACTCTTTTGATCAGAAACTGATGAATTGGAGTTGGACTCGTATATCCGAGAACTAAACGTTTTCAATAGCCATAATCTGACCACGCAACTTCGGAAAATACGGTGTTGTGAAGCCCATCAGAGGGTGACCATTTCAGTCACAGAAAACAAAACTTGCGATCTCTGTTTGTTAAAAGAACTCTTTAATCAACGGTAACCATATCCAGAGCCATACTATCGCGCAATAATCCCGCACGCCAAAAGGGTTTCATTTATTCTCAATCGACTGAGATGCGGGTGGAAGATGGAATCGAATGATGAATACACTCGGTATGATTTCAAAGTTAATTGGGGAGCATTGGCTGGCTGGTATTGCAATCAAAGTGGCATTGCAAACATAATTGGAGTGGAAGGGAGGTTTGGATGAAATGGTAATATTTCTGCAATTCCAACCCCTGAGTGCTAAGGTAAGACCTGTTTTTTTCTATTCTCAATGTTGGTTTGGCGTGCACACGCGGATCATCGTATGAAAGGTAATGAATAGGCCATTTTCGTTCGCCCTTCTCAAGAAATATTCCTCCTGGGTCTTCCGAACGTCTTGTGTTCTGACATTGACCACTCACTCTCCCTCACTTGTCTCCTGTTGGCTGCGGGAGGTTTAGAGATATATCACGTGATTCTACCACTAGCGCAGGGCTTATGTAAGGAAGTGGAGCCGCAACCTGGAACCCGCAGGAATTTTTCGCCTTCTGTTCTCGCTCGCACAACCACAAAGAAGCTAAACCCCAGCATCAGAAAAAAAATCCCCAAATTATTCCCTCTCCATTTCCAGAGGACCCTTCATCGCGTCGTTGACCGTCTCGATACATTCCGCACGCGCGTTCTTCATCGAGACCCACGACCTTTACCCCCGTCACGATAAGCGAAGCAGAAACGCCCTTGTCAAATTGACGGGTTTGAGATTTACGTCCTAAACCACCCTTTGTCCGCTGTTTAGGGGAGGATTGCCCAGCATGCCACCTCCGCCCCATATCCGGCCTGAGAATGTCCTCAGGGTAAGATATCAGTCTATATGGAGATGGAAAAACCATTTGGGAACCTGCGATGTTAATATTCATGTTTTCCATAGCGAGCTGAAGAGCTCATTGCCGTCGGCCAGCAGCAGGCTGCGCTGACGGTTCTCCATGAACAAGTCGCCTCCAAACGTTCCCGCAACAGCCCCATTTCAAGCCTCGAGCCAGTTATGATTCTTTTCGTCGAGTTGTGCGTGGATCTACGAAAGGGAAAGTCTGCAAAGGATGGCCTTTATCAATATAAAAACATTGCGCAAAATAGCAATGTTGGCACAATTGAGGTAAGCTTTTTTCCCTTTCTCCTTGCTACATGCCCCGGTTTAGGAAAATATATTTAAGTACATATACGACTATTGGGGGAGGGATTGATGGGATCGGTAGAGGGCAAATGGCAACAATGCAGTTTCTGGATAGTGAGGCTAACTTGAGTGCCTTTTTGCATACAGATGGTGTTGAAAAAATTTATTGAACTGGCAGAGCAAAAAGTTACAGAAGCTCAGGCTAAGGCTGATGAAATCCAATCTTCTCTCGAATCTGCTGCTCCATCAACAAATATCGAAGATCTTGATGCTATCGAGACGCCTGAGACTATCCTTCTAGCAACCGTTTCTGGTGAGCAATCTCGCGATAGAACGGATCGAGCCATTGTTACCCCGTGGTTGAAATTCCTCTGGGAGACATATCGTACTGTTCTTGAAATCTTGAAGAACAATGCACGGCTGGAAGTTATGTATCAAACCACTGCGCTCCAGGCATTCCAGTTCTGCTTGAAGTACACTCGCAAAACTGAGTTCCGCCGTCTCTGTGAGCTGCTCCGTAACCATGTTCAGAACGCTGCAAAGTACTCCAGCCAGATGCACGCCATCAACCTGAGCGATCCAGAGACTCTACAGCGCCATTTAGATACCCGTTTCCAACAACTGAATGTCGCTGTTGAATTAGAATTGTGGCAAGAGGGCTTCCGTAGCGTCGAAGATATCCATACACTTCTCAACCTTAGCAAGCGACCAGCCAAGAATATCATGATGGCCAATTATTATGAGAAGCTCACCCGGATCTTCCTGGTCAGCGAAAACTACCTCTTCCACGCTGCAGCTTGGAGCCGTTACTATAACCTCCTTCGCCAGTCTGCCGCCGCTGTCGCTGCAGGACAAAGTCCAAAGAAGGAAAACCCAGTTATCTCTGAAGCTGAGATGACCAAGACCGCATCTTTCGTTCTTCTCTCGGCACTCTCGATCCCGGTCATTAGCACTTCGCGCTCTCGCGGAGCGCTTGTTGATGTTGACGAAGTTCGGAAGAACAAGAACACCCGGTTGACTAATCTTCTTGGCATGCCTCATGCTCCCACCCGTGCTGGTCTTTTCAAAGATGCTTTGAATAAGGGTTTACTTTCTCGTTGCCGCCCAGAAATTCGGGACCTGTACAACATCTTGGAAGTCGATTTCCACCCATTGTCGATTTGCAAGAAGATCTCCCCCATCCTCACTCAAATTGGCGCTGACCCCGAAATGGAAAAATACGTGCTTCCCCTTCAACAAGTTATCCTCACAAGACTCTTCCAACAGCTCTCCCAGGTTTACGAATCCGTTGAAGTTAAATTCGTCCATGAGCTCGCCCAGTTCCCTGAACCATTCCAAGTTACTCGCTCAATGATCGAGAAATTCATCATGAATGGTTGCAAGAAGGGTGACTTGGCTATTCGTGTGGATCACATTTCCGGCGTCCTAACTTTTGATTCCGATATTTTCTCCTCCGCCAAGGCTATGCATCCTGGAAGTGCTGCCGGATCCGCTGAAAGTGAAGTGGGATCGGTGCAGCGACTCCAAAGCACGCCCGCTGAAATCGCCAGGTCCCAACTTACGCGTTTGGCAAAGACCCTTCACCTCACCTGCATGTATGTCGACCCGTCATATAACCAAGCTCGCATCCAGGCCAAGCAAATTGCCTTTGCTAAGGCTAAGGCTGGTGCTGCGAAGGAGCACGAGGAGACTCTTGCTCGTAGAATCATTATTGAGAAGAAGAAGGAAGCTGCACTGGAATCCCTGCAGAGGAAACAGCAAGAGGAAGAGAGACTAAAGCGTATTCGTGCGCAGGAATTGCAAGATGCTGAAAAACGCAGATTGCATGATGAACACGTCGAGCGCGAGCGCAAACGGCTGCAGGACGAGAAGGACCGTATTCGACAAGAAGAGCTCAAGAAACAACTCGAGGAACTTAAGACCGGAGTCAAGGGCATCGATGTTAGTGAAATTAACTTGGAGGAATTGGATAGCAACAGCCTTCGAACTATCAAGCTGGCTCAGCTTGAGAAGGAGAAAAATGAACTCAACGACCGTGTCCGAATCACAGCCAAGCGTATTGACCATCTGGAGCGAGCCTATCGCCGGGAGGAACTCAAGCATATACCTGCAGACTACGAAGCGCAGAGGAAGCGTGATCTCGAGATCTATGAGAAGAACAAAGCAGATACCCTGGCCGCTGCTAAGCTGAAGCATAAGGAAGATGTTGCCCTCAAACATCGTCTAAGCCGTCTGGTGCCATACTTCAATGATTTCAGAAAGAACATTCAGGAGAAACGACATGTGGAATTTGAAAAGAACCGCAAAGCCGCAGAGAGAGAATTCGAGAATAAAAAGAAACAACGAATCAAGGAAGTCCAAGAGCGTTTGCGACGCGAGCGTATGGAAAGGGAGGAACAGGAGAGACGCCAGCGAGAGGAGCAGGAGCGTATTGAACGGGAGGAACAAGAAAAAGCTGCTCGGGATGCTGAACGGCGCCGCCAACTTGCCGCAGAGAAGGCTGCCAGAGAGGAAGAGCGAAGGTATGATTTCCCTGCTTTGGTTACGAATTTCGCACAATTTACTAATACTGTCACTAGAATACTCGATGAGAAAGCCGCAATTCAGAAGAAGCGAGAAGAGGAAGCCGAGGCCAAACTCAAGGCTCGCAAAGCTGGTGCTGTCCCCGTTCGTATGGAACGCACTGAATCTACGGAACGCACTGCTCCTAGACTTAATCTCACAGGTCGTACCGGCCCTACCTGGCGAGAACGCCAGGCTGCAAAGGAAGCGGAGGCGGCTGCGGCCGGCTCTGTCACTCCCCCAACCGAGGCAACAGCACCCGCTGCCAAGGAAGAGCTCCCGCCTCCCCGGACAACTGGCGGATACGTTCCTCCACAGCGACGAGCCGGCGCTACTGGTCGAGATCTCTCGACGAACGGTGAACGCATGCCCGAGCGAGCACCTGATCGCGAGCGCATTTCTGAGCGTATGCCTCCGCGGTTTAGCCGCGAAGCCGTTGCTCCCCCCAAGTCACTCTCCAGAAGCCCAGCACCAACTAGCTCTTCGCCTGCACCTGAGAGTCGCGAGGGCTCCAACCCACCTTCCGGCGGAGCGACACAGGCATGGAGGCCCAGGTTTAGACAGCAGCAACAGCAGCAGTAGTAGGGAAATGTGATGGATTGATGATACGACAGGGCGAGAGGATGATGTGCAGGAGTTATCCATTTTACGTTTCATCTAGTCGCTTTTTTAACTTACCTTTTCAGATGTTTTGCATGTCACCTTTTCTCTCTTTATTTGCGAGACAAAGGAAATCGGGTGACTTAATATTTTTAGTATCTTTTTCACATATCACTTTTTCGTCCTCTGTTTTGCCTTGAAATTTTTCTTAAGTTCCTCTTTTCCTTCTCTTCGGTTTCACTTTTCCATATCTTGTTTGCCCATTCGATCGAGCCCAACCTCCCCCAAACGTCCCTTTCAAGAGACGAAAAAATAGCGATGAGATGAGATCGATGAGATGATGAAGTTGCTAGCCCCCCGGCTTTCTAGGCCATGTAAAGCAAGCTGAATGATAAAAAGAACAAATTTTTTGTCCTGAGTTATTATTTTTTACGTGTTTCCTTCTCTGTCGTTCTGTCGTTTTGCTTGTTTATCTCCAATCACTGGTGCTGGATATCTCCTGTGATTTTGATTTCTTTAATTCTCGTTGTCTTTTTTCTTTCCCTATCTCTCTAACTGCAGCGGTAGCCATCTGTTTTATGTCCTTCTCTCTCCATTCGTTAATTCAAATCCAGTATTATATTTGTAGGCTGTAATTGACCATTGAAAATTTGGCTCTATTTTAACGGTCCTACACAGTAAATGGTTTGTTTCTCTAATTTTTCTTATACTTCCCAATTCTTCACGTTCGTTCGTCTGTCTTGTAGGTGGTTTGAGAAAATATAAATACACGGGGCGTAGCGTAGTTGACGGATTAGATCATGTAAGGGAGCTTAACGACAATTGGCCAGGGTTTACGGATAACTGCAGAACCGTTAAATAATAATAACATAGTTACGGTTTTGTTCTTGAAGATTTTCCACGCCCCTCAATATAATATAACCATTTGTTTGTCTGTTCCTGGAAAGTATATAGATACACCCCCCTCCACAGAATAATTAATGGATGAGCAATGCCATCTCTGTCAGTCTTCTTTATTCTACTACACGCAGAACGACTCTGAGCCAACGCCCCAAGAACGCTATGAACTATTTCACCAGCCATGCTCCTCCACTTGCTCTCTCCCCACCAACCCTCGGGACAAGGAAGCACAAGATTTGGATATATGTGATTTCTGCAGCCACATACGATTAAGACATCTCGTAAATTGCATCAAACCCAATATTCGTTCTAGGTTTTTGTTTCCTCTGCGTAGAGGGTTGCTGGAGGAAGAACGCCATGGTAGCAATAATAATATCGTCTCAAGGAAGAGAAAAAGGGAATGTTCACTGTGTGCTTTCATGAAACATATGGTTGCGGTTGGGCTTAGTTCTACGCGGATAGCAGAAGTGAAAGGGGCGAGAAACTATGATATTGTCCTCTACCTTGGGCCTCCCCAAAGCGATGACTCGCAGTCTGGGGTATCAGGGGTTCCTTCGGCGGATATTTACGTCAGTTATTCCGATGGAGATGGAGTGTCGAATATTTGGGTTGGCGATGTTCACATCGATGAGATTAGAGAAGGTAAGCCTAATATATGGATAAATGGTAGCAGACTTCTTTGCTAATCAAGAGCAAAGGCGGCTCGCACATCCCACGTGTGGGAGAGGTATTATTCTGGCCTCGTTTGGAGGACAAAATAAACGAATGCTATAGCACACATAGCGAATGCCAACAGCATGTCACCGCTGCGCAAGGCTCCTCGTTACCCAAGGGCTTTCGAGTCATCGACGTTATTAGACGATGCCTTGTTGAACGAAGCGATATTCGTCGTTTCGTTGGGCTCAGCTATGTATGGGGCGCAAAACCATCGTCCCTGCTCGCAGCCACATGTGCAACGGTTGATGGAATGAAGAAAGATGGAGGCCTCCCTTCATCAACAATGCCGAGGACCATTGAAGATGCAATCACAGTCTGCCTTCAAATGGGCCAGAGGTACCTGTGGGTAGACCGGCTTTGCATAATCCAGGATGACGTAGGGGATAAGGAAGCCCAGATCGAGGCAATGGACGATATTTTCTCCTCTGCGCAGATAGTGCTTATAGCCGCCTACGGCGACAGCATGGATTTTGGGATCCCCGGTGTTAGCCGTGTGAAGAGAAAGGCAGTCCAGCATAGCGAAGACATACTTGGTTTGCGAATTACGAATATCGTTCGTGAAGTTGAGGATGACCCCCTTAACGTGTGGGACACGCGCGGGTGGACATACCAGGAAGCAGTTCTTTCGAGAAGACGGCTCTATTTCACAAATATGCGGGCATTCTTCGAATGTGAACGGTCCATGAGCCATGAGGATATGTTCAATGGCGAAAGAAGTCGTGACGATCTCATCTCGAGCAGGCTGGTTGTCTCGGACGATGAGTCCACCTTTCGATCCTTTGCGCGGCATCTCAGGCATTATTCTTCCCGAAAGCTCACATTTCGCTCCGACGCATACGAAGCCTTGTATGGTATTTCTAAGTCGTTATATAATAACAAGAATATTGATTCGATGAGGATGAGGATGATGATAAATGGGTTACCTCGAGTTGACTTTGACCGTGCTCTATTATGGTATGCCAACATTGGTAAAAACCCAATAACGCGCCTGGAAACTGCTCAGGGTCTGGTTTTACCCACATGGTCATGGTCATCAATTATGGGCCTGGCTGAAGATCAAGTGCACTACCAAGCAACGGGCTTCTATGGGACTTTAGTGCCGTGGTATAGTATAAGCCGCCCTACCTCTGTCCCAGCTGGTTCCGGGTCTGTCATCGAGGCTTTCAATGTCTGCCATGACTCCCATGGTCCGGATGACGACTGGCAGGTGTATATGGCTATTGCTTGTATAGAAGGATGTTTGGGAGACAAAAGAAACGCGTCCCTGCCTTTCTCCCTAAGGACTGACAACTTTGTAACCGTCCGTGAAATGTTCAATAAGCGGTGGAAAGATTATCACAACTTCTGTATTGACGTGATGCCATCGACCTTCAAGCTGAGCGAATTACCACTGCCAGGGGCGATTACGCAGGGCATAAATCCAAAACTCGCGGGAATAATAGCAACAAAAGCCCAAGCTGCAATTTTCAACCTAGAACCGAAGCCTTCATACTCCTTTAACATCACCAACTCGTCAGGAGAACGAATCGGGGAGCTCTGCGGGGATGCGGAGCAACTCAGAGAAGAACACGCACGAGCGAAAGCGCCCGGAAGCAGCACAGCACCGAGCACCAAGTTCGAGTTCATTGCGCTTTCGTTATCTGGAATAGGAATTATGCCGTATTCAAGTAAAGAACTTGGACTGAAAAACTATGTTGACGCTGATGGCAACGCACTAGACAAGGTTCCTATTGTGAACGTGCTGATGATCGCGTGGGATGGGAATATTGCACGTCGTTGTCAGCTTGGCTGGGTATTCCTCGTCGACTGGGTGAAGGTGTCGCGGGAGTGGAAGGTAGTTATGCTTGCATGATAGATAGATGTATGTCCATACATACATGCACATAGGGCATTGTTTGTTGGATGCATCGTAATATGAGTGAGCTATTGCCAAAAATTATAGTCAAATGAATTGTTTCTATTGCAAGAGGGTTCTTGGCTCCTTTCTAAGGGTATACGCTGCGTAGATTGTGAGGCGAGCGCAGGAAAGGGGGATGTATATAAGGAAACAAATAGGATACAAAACGTATGGACTCCGACAAGGGAATTCTAAAGATCCAGGGAACATGTCTATGTGTGCAACCATTGCGAGGGGACATTATGCGCGTATATAAGGAAACGGCCAATGGACGAGGCCAACGGAAAAACAAATAGTAAAACGAGGGAACTGAACAGGGTTGAGACCAAGACAAATATCGAAAATTAGGGGGGAGTAGAGAACAAAAAAGTATATAGATCAATTATGCAGCGGCAACTTCGGCGCCAAAAAGTCGGGCCCTCCATTCTCCACATACAGCTTCAAACCCGCTCACCACATCTCCGCACACCCGCCCGGCTTCTCGTTGTTGTAATCGCCGATCCCACTCTCCCTTTTCAATCCATCTTGTCCCCTCCTCTCGCTGCTCTTCTTCCCGACGCATATCTGCGACTAGTTCACGTACGGATTTCAGCCGTCGTGCTGCTGCCGAGGTAAGCTGGCGGGATTCGTGAATGGTATCATTGAGAGCCCGAAGATCGTGGGTGAGATCAGATGTTTGGGAGAGGAGCGCTCGGAGAGACAGGAGGGGGTCGTCATGTGAAGTTTGGGGTTCCTGGTTATGTGGGGATTGCCGCACGGGGAACGGGAGGTTTGGTAGAATGTCATCGATCAGGGGGACGAGGTCATCTATTGCTTCAGAGGATAGGGTGGGGAACGGAGAGAAGAGGAGCGGATGGGTGAGGGTTTGCAATGCGCGTGTTTGGGAGGTTAGATGCGAGGCGAGGGATGCATGTGCCGTAATCAGTCTTTGAATGGCTTGTTAGCAAAGAAAAGTGCTTCGAGCATATACCAATGTTGAGCAGTACACATTAATCAAGGAGGAAAAAAAGACGATGCTCTACATACCTAGTAGCGTTATTTTCAATCCCGCTCTGGCCGCCTAGATCCCGCAAGCTTTCGACAACTCGGTCAACAATGTTGCCGGAAGGCAGATTGTCTCCCATGCTCCATCGAACAAGATTTTCAACCCCCGCCATTTGCTTCTCTAATCCAGGAGAAAGATCACCAGGCTCCTCAAAATCCGAGTCATTACCGTAATCTGAACCATCATACGAAGGTTCATGCCGACGGTGTTTTTGATACTGTCCTGATTTTGATTTCTGCTTCGGAATCTGCAAACTATTGCGATTTGACTCCTCGTCCCCCGAGTGTTGATTCCCTGGATCACTCACGGTATTATGTGTTGACCTAGAAGACGTATCGTCCTCCTCTTCATGTACTTGCATGTGGTCATTTCCCTCCTGGAACTCTGATAAGTCTTCTTCTCCTTCTTCGCCTTCACCGTCCTCGTCCCAAGCATCTGCTAGTTCGTCAGCTAAATTCCCTAGTCCGCCTCCTCCTGAGTCCTCCGGGGCAGTAAACTCCGCAGAAAATCTCGCAGACTTATCCATCGCCCCTGAGCTGCGTCGACGAGGACTCATCGGCGATAGTGGAACGGAATATCTCGGGGTTAGCGGTGAGTGTAGAGGACTGTGGCCGAGGCCATTTGGTGTCAAAGCATTGTTGGAAGAGACAGACGAAAGGTCTAGGTGGGACGGGTTTCCACGCCTTCGAGGCGGCGAAATAGGAGAGAGCGGAGGCATTTCGGTAGAATGTGGGATGAGATATTTAGTGAGACACGGCAAGACTGGGGTGGCAGCTAATGACAGGAGGGGGAATTGCAGGTTGTACGCGCATTTAAAGGTAGAAGTGTTGAACGGCGATTATTTGATATAAGAGTATCGAAAAATAGTCTCGCTTTTTGTTCCAGTATTTATTTCCTATTTTCTCGTCCTGTCTTTAGAGCATTCCCCTGTCAGCCATGCGGCGTCGGGCACGGATTGGACTGGGCGTAGTTGCGGAAATGAAGGCAGGGCTTGTTTAGTTTGATATCGTGGCCAGCACATAAGCAATAGGAAGACGCGAATACGGCGCGGGGTGCTCGTCAAAAGCGTGTGTATCCAAAAAGCGGTTCTCTGTGCCACATGGAGGGCGATGACAGGAAACAGAGCACCGAATAGCAGCGGGGGTTATTCTGTTTATTTTATTTATCAATTTATCCATGGTGTTGTTCTTGGATGGTTATTGACATTTTGCCGAGTTGGGACTGGTCGGTCCCGTGATTTCGCGGCGAGCTAAATATTTTTACTGAATATTAATAAACCTTGAACTGTGGTTGTTTCACTCAAACGGCTTTTATTATTATTGATTATCGATTGATTGATGTCGGAAGGTTTTTTTTACGCAGAGAAGCTTGCGATATATCCAAGCCGAGGGAGATCATATTTAATTAACAGAATCGCGCACTCCGCAACCCAATCTTCCCATACCATACCAGCTCTCAACTCAACATCAGCTTCCATTAAATTAATACTATATATGCACGAAGCTCTAAACACATAACTAGCAGAATATAACGCGTCGAGTCGACCATGGCCACCATCCGGCGCATGACCCCCGCCGACCTTTTCTCCCTCAACCTCACCAACCTTGATGCTTTGACAGAAAACTATGACCTCCATTTCTACCTCACCTACCTAATGAAATGGCCGTCGCTCTTCAACGTCGTGGAAGATCGTGACGGCCAGATAATAGGCTATAGTACGTTTGCTCTGATCTAAAAGAAACAAATAGAAAAGGAAGGAAGAAATAAATGAAAGAAGAGAACAGAAAAGAGGGAGAGAAAGAAAGAAGCGTCCACCAATTGCTGCAGGGTTTCGTGGAAGCTGAATTTCCTCAGTGTACAAATCGAGCTGAACTGACTATTAAATTCTCTTTTGCTTTCGTCAAAAAACATAGTAATGAGCAAGCTTGAATCTCAACGCGCCTCAATGAGACACTCGGAGCACTACACACCATGGCATGGCCACATTACAGTATTAACTATTGCACCAGCTTGGCGCAGATTGGGGCATGCACGCCGGCTGACAGAGAGCCTGGAGCGGGCGTCTGATAGAAATGATGCGTGGTTTGTGGATTTATATGTGCGGGCGGGCAATACGATTGCGGTGGGAATGTATAAAGGGATGGGGTATGTCGATACCTTTTCCGCTCTGCTGTTTCTATGATCTTTGTCACTCTTTGTTTCCTCTCGCTAACTTCATATTTTCCTGTGCTTCTCAGATACTCCGTGTTCAGACGGGTGGTTAATTATTACAGTGACGACCCAACGGGTATGTCGGAGGAAGGGGAAGATGCGTTCGATATGCGAAAGCCCCTCAGTCGAGATAAAGAGCTCAAACATACCCGTGAGAACGGGGAGAACTTTTTGGTCAGCCCGGAAGATGTTTACTAAAATGAAATTGTATGCCACAATAAAACTTCTTACTTTACGTCCTTTGACATGCCAGATTTATTGAGTGTGTGGTTACTTATCACTGTGATCTTTCTTGGAAGTGAGCTAGAGTTGATTTTGTTAGGGAGGAGGGAGTTTACAACTTTATGAAGCTAGTTACCTGGAGTTTACATGCACTAAACCATTTTACAACTCCTCCTTTGCCCAGACGAATAATGCCTCGCGTATGGCCACCTATATGCTGGTATTTAAAGGCCTTAACAGAAAAATGAAGACAAGGGGTTTGATGAGACGTCGCTCTGTGTCAAGAGAATAGGATTATATTTGCAGCGATAAAGCCATATAAACTCAACGTATATGCAGAGGAAACGTGAAAAGACATGCAGAAAGGCGCTATGAGTGAGGTATGTACAGCCAAATCGTATAATATGTGCGAAGATGCCAATGACCAACCCAGATAAAATATTCTCAACACCCAGACCCCAGTCCAATGCTGATGTAAAAAAGGAAATGCGTATTTTGCGAATTGCTGCATTGGAAGTAATCAGTCACGAACACTCCAATTTGAACTTTACAAACCTGTAACTACCATCCCATCATGCAGATGCGAAAAGCTTTGGCCCAGTTGACAAGAGTCGAGCCACCATCATGACCCCAGCGGCGACAACAAAGCAGACGCCCACCAGCACTGCCACACCCACATAGCTCCCAGTGCCATGAACGACAGCGCCACCAATAGGTGTCCCCACTAACGACCCCAGAGAACACAAAACAAACGACATTCCCAAGCGGGTGCCAAAATCTCGCATATCAGGCGTGATGTTCATAAACACAACAGGCCCCACGGATGTGAAACCGCCCGCAGTAAATCCGTAGAGGACTACTAGGGCGATTACCCCTGCTGTGGTGTGTATCCTGATCCACGAAATAGCCAGGATACCGGAGAGGAGGGTCATGGGGATCATGATATTTATGGGACCAATGTAATCGGCCATGAAATTAGGGAAAATACGCCCGATTATGGAGCTGGCGTTGAGCATGGAAACGAGGTAGAAGGCAAGGTGTTCGCTCATTATGCCGTTTTCGATTACGTAGGGTTGTATATGGACGACCACGTTATAGAGACCGATGAAACCGACGAACTGTGCAATGCAGAAGAGGGTGAACACTGGATCCTTGAATGCCGAGAGTTGAACAAGCGCACGCTTCTCCTGTGGCTTGAACCGTACATGGAGCAAAGACAGTGCTATCAAACCCGTTGCGCATGCGGTAAAGCCTAACACCCGAGTCGCCCACGCGAAGCCGATTTTCAATTGGAGCTGGCTGAACATTATCGGATAGACCACGCCGCCCAGGGCCGTACCCGTAGCTGCTACTCCGTTTGCCAGTGCTCGTCGACGTTTGAAGTACTGCGGAATAATGGCCACACTGGGAACAAACACGGCTCCAGACCCTAGGCCGACACAGAAGGCTTGCGAAAGCATGATCTGCCAAAATGTGGTAGATATGCTGGTCATCATTAGCCCAAACGAATAAAGAGCCCAGCCGACTATCAGCAGATATCGGGAGTAGCCAGCGTCAAACAGAGGGCCCGTGATGGCACCGACGAATAACAGGAGGAACGACTGTATCGAGCCGATCCATGCTATTGTCGATGGCGACTCATCCGCAAGTAGGTGTTGTTCATAGTAAGTTTGGAAACTGCCATATGTAAGTACAATTCCCCTGTATTATACATACTTTTCCAGTTAGTTACGGTTGCTTCACAAATATACAGGATCTCTCAGGGGCCTGGAGAGGGAGTATGAAAAATTGATGTCTTAAATATACCAGCTGTTAAAGAAGAGGAAGAAAGCAGCGAGCACTTGTGACCATGCTTTCCAGCCGCGATCATAAATGAGCTCGGCATTGTCAAATGACAATATGTTATTCTTCTGAGGTTCCTCTTTCACCTCAATACCTCCAGATGATGAAGAACATGTCGTTGGAAGGGCAGCACCAATTTTGTTGCAAGAAAGCTCTCCCATAGCCGTCGGCCCAACCGAGAGTACTTGAACCTCGGGATATCGGGGTATGGCTCACCAAGGAAGAGTAAATAAATATTTAAAGAAATCGAAGTTGTTTATTGAAGATATCCATGGATGTATTCTTCATAAAGCAAGGATGTGAGAGCGCCAGAACAGGGGACCCAGCAAAGCAATGCCTGAATGATATATGAAAAAAGTTATTAATGGGGAAGGATAGAAATACTAAGTCTGGAATTGCTTTCCGCGCCATTTTAGTTATTCTTGTCCTGGAATTTGGCTAGTTGGTTCTGGTCAAACGTGGATAGCGACGCTTGTAAACGCTGTGGGGTTTCTTTTGGAGAAGACTCCATCTAGAGCTGTCACGGCCGATAGCAGGAGCATTTGTCCTCGGCTGGCAATATTTATCCCGAGACTCGCAGCGCCAGAGAGTTGGTGGGAACCCATAATAAAATTGAACTTCCGTCGGGGAAGGTTGTGAAGATAGAAAAACGATGACTGGAGTTGGTGGTTTCTGAGAATGAGGTTGGAGGTGAGATAGGGTTAGGGCTAATTACCTGCCTTAGCATCCTCCCTATCCCAAAGCCTCGTTAGGTTAGAGGACGAGGGGTTATAGTAATATTTTTAAATGTTCAATAATGGTCTTTGTATCACCAATTCGATGATTACAATTTCGCATCGTATCAGAATCGCACGAGCATATTGATTTTGGCACCTGAGGATGGGAAATACCTACGTGCATTTTGAACCAAGCCCATAGCCCCCTGATATATCGGGAATGAAAGAAGCGAAAACCATTATACAGATCTATGAAATATCTATATCCACACTATAAAGGCAACCGTCCAGCCGCTTGCCTTGTACTTTTCAAGCAATTTCCCCCCCCTGCCCATTGAAAAGGGTTCACAGGGGCGTAAACGCGATACCCAAAGGAACACCCAAACTCCACCCGCTATGCGAAAATCATCACGGTATTAAACAAAACACAGAATCAACACTGACATATTTAAAAATAGAAAGCAAAAGTAAAGCTGCGCGCTTAAAGCAACTCTTCGCAGGTCCAGTCCTCATACCTATGGTGACGAAATTGGTTAGATACGGCTCCACGTGTATACACACACACACACACACACACACACATATATATATATATATAGAGTCAAGCTTACCATCCATCAGGGAGGTATCTCCTAACAATCAGCGGAATTTTTTTCTGAGCAAGCTCCTTCAGAGCAATTTGAAGAGGATCCGTTTCTCCCTCGAGGTCAACGAGGATCGGGGCGTTCATGCTGACAATCCAGGTTAGTATGCTGGAGACAATCGTTTGCCCCGATATAGGTAAGCCCACGAAAACTAACCTGATTTGTAGCGCTCGTGTGCCTAATACTCGGGCGCGCTCGTATTTGGTCATGTAGGGAGTTGTCGTCCGCTGATCGTTGGGCACCTTTTTCTCTCTTTGCTGCAGCATGACCTTTCCTTTGGATGCGCCCGCGTTTGGGTCCCCCGAAACAATGTTCTCTTCGCCATTCTGCACAGGCTGGCCGTCGCCATTGACTATCGCATAACCTTCGGCATGCTCTGTCTGCTCCGGCTCAACAAAATCTTCCGGCTCATTATCAATATACTCGTACTCGGGTGGTTCATAGTCAAATCTGTAAGAAGTCTAGTATTAGCTACATAGTTTTAAGAGCTCAAAAGGCCTTAATAAATCCGCCGCTACACAGAGCCGCAAGATTTCCAGATAGTGAGCCACGGTGACACATTAGGCTACTAACCCAGCATCATCGTGGTCTTCACCTCCACCGTAGTCTGACATTGCGCTTAAACGAAGAGATAAAAGTCCGAGACAAAAAATATATGCAGTATAAGAACGCTCTTCAAATTAGAGTGAGTCGGCCACTCTGCGCTGATGATGTTTTGTCCCCTGTTGTGTTGCTGCTGTAATGTCTTTTGGAAGGTCAAGAGCGAAGAAAAAGTTGAAACCTTGGCGCCTTTCGCCTATGGCGCTTGGCGCTTAAATCCCACCAAACTTTTTTATGCCAAGATTTACTACATTTCGGCCCACAGATCAACACAGAAGATATTCCGATACGAATAACCAATGCCATCCATTTACATGCCTTTTTGATTTTTGGTCGCCATATGGCAGATGACCATCATGGCCCAGAAACGAAAAGCTACTTCAGAAACTAACCGACAGCCTAAACGGCTACAACATTCAGCTCCGTCAGAAAGCTCCGGTAAGCATCAGATATGGCCGCCATGCGTGGCTGCGAATTGCTCTTTTATCTGACAATCTCGCAGATATAGTTGATAATGGCGACATATCGGACTTTTCATCCCAATCTTCCTACTGTCTGAGCCATGGCAGCCAGCATGAAACACCCATCACACCTCACTCTCCCGCCTCCTCGAGATACCCATCAGATCGAAAAACTCACCTTTGCCCCTATGAGGGATGTTTTAAAGCTTTTAACCGGCCTGCACGACTTACAGAACATTTAAGATCACATACCAACGAGCGAATATTTAGCTGTACATATGAAGGCTGCGAGAAGACATTTCTACGAGCTTCCCATCTGAGCCACCATGTAAAAAGTGCGCATACCACCATTCGAGACTACATATGCGATAGAGAGGGATGCGGCAAGACATTCGTCACGGGATCACGGCTACGAAGGCATCTAGCTGCCCACGAAGGAAGGGACAAGTACAGGTGTACTGAATACCCACCTTGCAACGAAACATTCCGCAAACATTCAACACTCCAAAAACACATCTTGACCGCCCATCTAAATAAGAAACCGTTTCCCTGTCCGCATATTGATCCAGCCACTGGCCAGCAATGCACGCAGGCCTTCGATACAGCAGGACATCTGCGCTCGCACGAGAGCAGAATTCACGGCGGTGCACGGTTTGCCTGCATAGAATGCTCATCCAAGGCAATTGACGAAACGTCGACAGCGACGAACGGGACGACCAATCCCCTTCAAACTGCCGTCTTCCCAACCTATGCTTTACTTCAAGCACACATGAAATCCGTCCACCCACCCACCTGTCCAGAATGTGGTATGACCTCCACATCGAGCCGAGACCTCCGCCGCCATCTTGAGATCACCCATGGAACCGTCCCGGTGGAAGAACGCAAAATCCACCCATGCCTCTACCCGAGCTGTGGTCGAAACTTTACAAAAAAAGGCAATTTAAACGTGCACATGAGAACCGTTCATGAGGGAGAGAAACGTTTCGTCTGCGGCGAGACAGACCTCTCCAGCTCAAAAAAGGTAGAAGGTTGGAACGTGAAGGATAACGGATGCGGTAAACGCTACGGCAGCAAACTTGCCCTAGAAGAACACGTTCGCACAGCACACTTGGGGTTAAAAAATGCGAAAGCGGAACGAAGGGAGCTGCTCGGCCTTAACGGCTCCAGCAGCAGCAGCAGCAGCCGCGGTAGTGGTGGTGGTGGGAGCAGTTCTCGTTCTCGAACTAAAGATAAGGATGGCCAGTCAGCAGCCCCTTCGAATCTCGCCATGCTGACTGGCGAAGGCTACATGGAGGAATCCGGGCGCCACATCCCCTGTCTGCTAGAGCAGTGTGCGCATCTCTTCCATCGAGACTATGACTTGTGGCTGCACATGGCTTCGAAGCACAATTTGGAGGAGAATGATATTCAGATTTTATTCATGCAGCGCGCCATGCAGGGTGGGGAGCAGAGTTTTGATGTCGACTTTGATAAATTGACGAGGTATGGGTGTAGGCATGGATATGCTACTGGTTCTGGCGCCGGGAACGGTGATGATATCCACCCACAGGATCTAGGTGACGGGCAATTGGTAATTGGAAAGGCGCAGGGTTTGGTTAGTGACGAATTTGCGATGGCCGATTTTGCTATTGGTGGCTGTGGTTCTGCAGTCGACAACGGTGGAGATACTGATATGACTTTGATCGACCCTGTCTTGACATTTACACAGAGACAACAAGCGATTCATGAATAAGCTGATAGCATTGACCAGTCGTCAACCGTGTTGGTGTCTTACGGATCTTTCACCGCTTTGCTATCCAAAACTTTTTTTATATGAGGAGTAGAAATATGACGGAAATACGATTATACATAATGAGAAGGAATTAAATAATAGGGCTATTTACGCGAAACCAATTCTTTTTAATTTATATTAATTTGTTAACGTCACCAAAGAAAGCTGCACTGGTCCCTGCTTCTGCTTCGCGTCGGGGGTTTCAAGTCCAGCAAGCTGTACACAGCATCACATCACAGCTTGCACAATTAAAGAGGAAAGAACTAAAAAAGATGAACCTTCACCTAGAAAGCGTAGCAGCATGTGAATACAAACTAATTATACTCTGTATTTGAATTAACAAAACAAGGGGCAAGCAGTAAAACCCAACCACGAGATGGAATTTCTTCGTTAAAAATCGTCAAAGCCAGAAGGAAAAGAAGTAAGAAGAACCCAGATAATAAAGCCAAAGCTTTTCCGAGGCACAAATGACCATTTAAAAATTTTTTAAATATAAAGATTCCAGAGCAGTCATTTATTCATTAACATAATTCATTCCACCAAAGCCCATTCGTTCGCCCATTCACTCCTCCGTGCCCGAGCCAAATGTCGTCAACATTCCTCTTTATCCCGTGGAACCCATGATTGGAAGTATGTGCCGTGTCCCTTGGGAAGCTGACCCTTGGATTGTTGTCCGGGGGTTAAATGGATGTGAGACGGAACAACAAAGAAGAAAGGAAGGAGTAGGAAAGATAAAAAAACAAAGATGCGAAGGCAAAATGAGAACCTGTTAACTTGGAGTGCGGGAGCAAGAGCCAAGTTGAGAAGTGGGGGGATAAACTCGTAGGAAAAAAAAAAAAAAAAAAAAAAAAAAAAAAAAAAAAAAAGGAGTAGAAAGAAAAACGGGGGCAGAAGAGAGCAGTGATTCTTTGCTAGGTTGCATACATAAGTGATATGCTTATGTATGTCCGCTCGCGTAATCCGATTAAGGAAACGATTTCCTCGTTATTGCTTTCCACCTGGGTAATACAACTTGTCATGAATTTTCTGGAGACCCGGAAAGAATGGAAGAGAAAGCAGTTCGGAAATGAATCTTTTTCTCTCTCTCTCCCTCTCTTTCTTTTTTTCTTTAAACCCCAGCGAGTCCCATGTGTGGCTTTGATTCAAATCCACCAACTCATGTCTAATCATGGGTTTAAAGGGGCTGAGCTAGAAGGTGCTCCATACATGTCGTTGCTGGAAGGGAAACAAACGGGACGGACGAGAGAGGAGTTATATGTTAGTCAGAAGGCCATAACCCTAAAGAAAAAGGGTGAAGGTAAAGAAAATTCCCTTGTGGAAACGAACAAGGGCGGGGACTGGGCGGATAAAGCGTCGACTCACGCTCTTGTCAACTTGTTCCTTGGCCCTAAGCGTTCTTCTTCCAGGGACGATAAGGTTTTCTTTTTCCTGGGCATCAGATACTGCGTCCCCATGTCCATTCTTCATCAGTGCCTCGATGATCATTGCCGAAGCTTGATTGCCGCTGCAGCGAGCACTCAAACCACGGCGTTTCTGCTTTACATCCGTCTAGAATTATCGATGCTTTTTAGAGCTGGCTTCAGGCGATAAATGAATAACGAGTGTACTGTACTAACCTCACTTTCTTTGGCCCGCTGGACTGGAGCCGTCTGAGAAGGTACAGCACGAGAACGCGCTTTAAGCCCCTCCTCACAGATCATTTTCAGACACTGGTAGGCCCGACTCTCTTCCTGCCGGTCCAGCTCTGCCTGGAAGGCTTCACCGAACGGCGAGGTGTAGTTCGCGGCCCAGTTGCTAGGGTCAGCGGGTAACGTAAATTTGTAACGGTGTGCGATGGACCTGGGTAATGCTATTTCTGACCTAGCACGCTTATTGAGCATCCGCGCTCTTCTCCTCCCCCGTCGGATTGACCCATGTGAGCTGAAGCGATGGCCATGCATCTGGGTTGGAGCAATGGGGCGCTCAGCCGCCATTCGGAGCTGTAGATCCCTCATCAGGGAGCGACGCGATGCAGCGGCATCAACGAAGTATTCCCGGTTGGTTGTTACGTCGAGGTCGTCTTCGGAATATCTGTCTGTGACATAGGGCGCTTCGCTGCCAACGTCGTCGGTGTCGAACATTGCATCGCACAGGACACGAAGGAGGGAGTATTTTTCATTTGATAGATTTGCTGGAGGGTCGTGTGGGGAGAACATCCTGGCCACGTCGCAGAAAAGGTCTACGGATTCGGTGCAGCGAGCCTTCGCGAGCCAACGAGCAGTGTTCATCATAGTTTCGATCACATCATCCATCGTGCCTGCGCAGTTGGCGGCTTCGAGTCTGTATTTGAGCAAGTCCTCATGTGGCTGAGGCGAAAGAGATGACTCCGGTCTGTCCAAGTGTTCTGTCCCATCAGGGCGCGGCTGGTAGTTCTTATATTTGTGCAAACGTCGTTCAGAGGCAGGGGAAGTTGTTGGGTCGTTGAATTTAGGGACTGTAGGCGGAGGCAGCTTCAAGAGTGACTCTTTGCACACGTCTATTCTAGCCATTCTCATGCTCATCACAGCCAATCTAAAATCACCTGAAAGGGTTGAGAGGGAAAAATCCTCTAGTCATCGCAGTTAGCCACCGGATGCGGGCAAAATTATGATCGACTGAGAGGAACGATAACTTGCCTTCTTCATTGAGAATTGTCCTAGTCGTAGTCTCATTCTCAAACTCAATGATTATCTTGTAAGCTTTCTTCAGGGACCTCATCGTGTATAGATGCCTGCAATGGTTCTTTTCCAGCCAGTAAATGGTCTTGCCCCCGTCTCGCAAGGGTTCGACAAGCTTGCGGAGAAGCTCAATCTCACCCAGCAGTAGTTGTTTTTCCGCAACCCATAAGGCGTAGGGCCCACGTTCAGGGATATTGTCGACACCGCGGCCAGAATATCTCTCGTCAAGCCAGGTTTGAACACTATGCTGTGCCTTTGCGAACGTCTCGTCTGGTTCTAGTAGCAATAGAAGGAAATGCTTGAAGGTGCCCGGAGTGGCATCCTTCACGAGTTTCTCCGCCATGGCCGGCACATGTACCATCCACGCCTTGGAGTTGAAATAACGCCCAAAGTCCTTGATTTTCTGCTCGAGACGTGTAAAGTAGGCATTTTCGAAATCTTCCTCAGGTCCAGCTTCTGAGGGTGGTGGGGTGTCACCAGTGCTGAAGACTAGAGCAAAATCTTCATCACCGGGAGGGGGCTCATAAGGGGGAAGTTTGGAGCGCTCTTTTATGCTGTATTGAAGAGTGCTTCTTGAAGGAGGGTCAGGAAGAGGTGCAAGAGGTTCAACTAGCAAATACATATCCCTAAGAAAGGGCCTGGATAGCCCAGGAGGGGGGTTCTGGAAGGGAACTTCCATTCCATTGAAGATACTGGACATGGTGACAGATTGTTTTGATGATAGCTTGAAAGTATAGAAATTGTATCTAGACAGCAAAATTTGCAGTCTTCTTAGAGAACAAGAAGACCATGCACCATGTCTAAATATCAGACAGAAAAAAGAATATTGTCAGAAAGAAAAACAAATAGATTGAGAAGTGAGTGTAATCTCTCAACTTGACAACTGCTGAGAGTTAATAAACTTAAGAAGTGCTATAGAATGACAAAGGAAAGAACAATTTTATTCACTCAGAAGATATCTTCATCACTCAGAAACACAGAGAATCTGATTGTATCAGAAAGATTGCATCAGAAAAAGAAGAAGATGACAAAAACAAGAACAGTCATATCTTATAAATCACTTTCATGAGTGAATGAAGTATGTCATGTTCAAGCTTCAAACAACAAAATTAAACAGAGACCCTCATCACATTCACTTCTCAAAATAAGGGCAGACCTCTGTAGAATTATTGAGCGAATCCATGCAAAGAGAAAGATGGTATATAAAAAATTGGTATCCTCATACACCACCTGGAGGTATTACAAACAAGGAAAGTAAAGCAGGAGAAGCAAGCCCAAATAAGGCCGTAGTCACCCACTGGAAACTAAATCAAAGTCAAGTACGTACTGTGTGAAAGTACTGTTCAAGCATGTCTTTCCATATTTATGGCGTATGAAGGACAGGTGATACAGCTAAAATACCAGCGAGCGGAATACGAAAGACAAAGAAAGAGGAGACAGGTAAAAGAGTAAAGTGGTATATGGCTGTTGATCCAGTCACTCAAGGCTTCGAAAACTCAAGTACTTAGGTACCAATGGTATCTAGGTGAGTAAATATTGCCTTGAGGAGTTGTACAGTACATATACTTCGTCCACGAAAACCCATCAAAATCCCAGAGGGACCACGGACCAGCGAATTTTATGCTCTTCCCCCCTATCATCCCTTATTTCCAGAACCTCAGCGGGAAGAGTCGACAGAGGACAAACCCAATCCCCAGCTGGAGTGGTTGATGTTAAAAGCGGTGGTTTGGCTGTGCCATCCCTGAGCCTGTCTTGAACGCACGCCAGACTATCCGGTACACACGCTGACTAGCACCTGGCTTCAGTGCAACGGAGAGGGCTAGAGGAGAAAAATATTCTTTTCTCCTGCCTCTGGCAACATGAAGTTATTTGCTGTTGTTGTGAAGAAATTAGTCTATTTAATTATTAGATAGAGTTGATCTGGAGCCTTGGTTCTAGGCTTCTGGCCAGATCTGGATTGATTATCTAACCAACAATTCAACTCCCACCCGAACCTTAATCCGGGAGTCAAGTTTAGTGTTAGTCAGAAAGATCTGTGCGGGCGCAAGCCTTGCTTTTCGTGACAAGTGGACAGGTTGTTAGTTGTCAGTTTGCGGCCCATCCTGGACAATCGCTTTAATAAGAATCTCAGATTCTCCAATGGTGGATGTTCCGGGTTATTTCATAGGCACTCACTCAATTCCTAACCTCTAATCCCAATGTTTTACTCTAGGTGTCTTGTCTTGTAGTAGCATAATAATAATGTGTAGCATACTTGTCGCGCAGGTGTATTTAATATATATATATATATATATAATATAATATGGGACAACGGATACTTTGTTCCCAAAAGTGTTGGAAAAATAATATATTAGTTATTAATTTATTATTAGGAATCAACTTTGCTTGAAGCCATATGAGTGGTGAACTAGCTGGCCTGAAGGGGTTATTTGATATCAATAAATGTCCCTACCCCTACCCTACACGAGCTCCTCTGTTTTGGGTTTCTGCCGATTCAAGTAGAGTTTGGGGGATTCGTCTGGGGATCTGGAGCAAACCGAAGTGAGCAAAGACAAAAAATGATCCAAAACTAAGTTTGATATGCTGACGATCAGCCTGCCAGCTCCAAGGTTGATAAACTACTTCCCAGCACTTCCGCGTGCTGATGGATCGACGCTGATTCAGTCAACACTATCTTTAGCGCTCACCTAGGAAAAAAGAAAGAAAGAAAACCGAAAGGAAGACAGACGCGCAAAGCTCCTTATAACTTCCTATGGGGTTAACGGGGAATATTTTCTGATAATAATAAAAGCATCCGACAATAAATAATGTCTTACAATGACAGCATCAGACGTCGAAGCTTGCAGGCGCTACGACTTGGCGGGGCGGTCGTTCGTAACGCTCTCGGATTATCAGACCTTGCGCAACGAACTGCGCGTTCGTTGAAAGTCTTCCAATAATCTTGGCAGCTTGTCGTGCAGCTCTTTTTTGGTGGCTTGGCTAGCAGCAGTTTGAACTCAACCGGTCCGGTCGTGGTTGACACTACTCCGTACGGAGTAACTAGTTACTGACAAACCAACCAGTCAAGTGGCATCGCTCTCTCGGCGGGTGATGACCGGAGGGTCTTGGCTGCTGATGACCAGGCTTGGGCTGGGGATCAGCGTGGAAGGCGTGCGTGAGGGCCATGAGGGATGACGCCAGTAGAAGTAGCCCTGCGGTGTGTGGCTTGTGTCCAGCGATGATCCTGGCCAGAACTACGGATACAACTTCCCGGTGCGTGCCCGGGGGTTTCTACGCTAGAGTGTCCTTTCTGCGAACGTGATTTAACTATATTTCGACTCCGCAACCTTGGAAGGTTCCGCAGGGAAGGGAGGCCTGTTGGAAACCTGAAAAATGCAGGAGGAAGGGCATGAAAAGCTCGAGGTGTTAAACAACAACAACAACAAAAAAATGGGGGGAAGAGAGACAAAAGGGTGGGAGAGAAAGGAGATATGAAAGGAAAAGGAAAATCTGACAAGTTGCTAAAACTGAGACATCGGTCAACTAGCAACCGTAAAACCGAGAGATTTAGTGCTAGGTTCCCATATGCGAAACGAACACCAGAGAGACAAATGGCGGAGGAGGAATATGAAACAAGAGGAAGTTCTGCTTGGAGGCTACATGCTTCTTCTAAGTAGTTAAGTAGTTAGAACGAGGAGAGCTCATCTGTACCGTACGTACGGGGTGAACCCTGCGGGTGTCCCTTAAATGGATATTTACAGCCCGGACTTGTACTCCGTACATACAATGAATGATCCCAAATGACCCGGCCTCTTGGACGTACGTGCATATGCAGTAGGGGTACGGTACTGTAGCGTAGCAGTGAGACAAAGCCACATCACATCAATCGAGAAAAGCAACAAATTCTTTTCTTTTTCCCGTTGGATCTTTTTGCATTTTGATTCTTCTTTTCTTTTTCCTTCTCTGTACGGAGTAGTTAATATTTTAATTTTATACTTTTAAGAGGAAACCCAGGTCATATTGTAAAGCAACGTTGAATTTCGATTTTGAAGCTACATAGCATCCATCATCCATCATCCATCATATTCGAGCATTATCCGTCAGCGGATGCGGGCGGTCTTTTCCAGACAACCTTCGCCCCAACTTTATCCCAACTTTATCCCAACCTTCTCCCGTCCTCTTCCCACCCAACACAAATGGATAACTTTCGTTCTTAACCTTCTTACACCTCCCTCCCACAATCTCCGTTCGACCTGGGCCTCCCACCTCCGAACTATCCTATCTCACTCTCGCTTTTTCTCATCAGCGTCCGAGTTCTCTCTCTGGCCTCCCTTCTCCGGCTTCCCCTCCTAGTTTGCGAGATATTGTTGCTATTCACCATGGTTGTTCATGTATTCCTACGTGCCCCGGAATGGAATTGACAAGGACTTTTCCCGCCTGACATCATCATAAACCCCCTTCCTTTTCTTCTTCTCCTCCGCCTCATTATCCGCTACATCCTCAATTCTCCTGGTAGTCTCCGTGAGCATCGTCGCTGCAGCTGTGCACATCCTCCCCTCACCTCACAAAGCCACGTTGAACGAAAAATAAAAAAGTAAAGGAAAAGAAACGGGGATCACACTTTGTGTTGGGATACAGACATTTATATATATATATATATATATATCTGTGTCACTGCTGCTTTTCTCCCTGACGTCTCACAGTCCCTGGTTGAATCGGGCCACTCTTGTCGACCGCAAATATGGGTCTCCGTAGTGGTAGGTGCAGATAGAACAATCCCTTCTGTCGTCTCTCTTGATGGCTAGAGTATACTTTTGTACTCCCGATCCGTCCATGCCTTGTTCCCCCCTCCTAGTTCTGTTCACTGCACGCACATGCAATCCCATGATACTCTAGGTTGCTAAATCCCCATGTGATGCCATAGTCTTCTCGTTACTCTCGGCCAATAAAGGCACCTCGAAGAGCGATGGATTCTCCGCTCCATCCCCAAACGCCTTCCCCTCTCATCAGAGGAATAATACCGACCCTCTTCCTATAAACAAAGTCCCTTCCCCTACTGCAACAGCTTCACTGTCGCATACATTAAAGAAATCTGACCGAACGAGTTCAAGGCCAGTTTCGGCCGCCTACCCACAACCGTCCGTCATGGACGTGCCCTCTGAAACGATCCCCGAGCTAGAGCCCGTTTTGAATCATCTGAACGCCCAGACGAACAAACTCTACCAGGAAGGCTATTTTCTAAAACTAAACGATTTAGATATCCGTATGTCCCTGTTCCTTTTTTGTTTTCAGAAGTCTTGGGTAAGGACATGAAACCTGACTAATATTGTCGTTTAGATGGTCGATCATTCCAAGAGAGGCAATGGGTGGATTGCTTTGCTCAGTTGATTGGCACTGTTCTCTCGTTATGGGACTCAGCAGCGCTGGACGCAGCTGGTCCGGGCGAAGATGTTCCACCCACATTCATCAACTTGGCTGATGCTTCAATCAAAATGGTATGTACCATCCTTGTTACTTTTTCTTCGAATCCCACCTTATTGCGTTGGCTCTGCATTCTCCTTGAAAAAAAAAAAAAAAAAAGGCAAAAGAAAAAGAATAAGGATCATGTTTACGGCGTGCAGGTAACTAATGTTGCGACCAGATTGAAACTCTACCCACACGCAGCGAAATGAGCAAGCCTCTCCAAAACATTCTCAGTATATCAACCGCCGGAAAGAACCGATATCTTCTCCATTTCTCGTCGCTACATTCGCTGACTCAATGGACTGCCGCTATCCGCATAGCCATGTTTGAAAATACCATATTGCAAGAATCTTATACTGGCGCACTCATTGCAGGCAAGGGGAAAACTCTGAATGGCATTAAGAATATCCTAGAAAAAACGAAATTCGTGTATGAAGACTGGGCGAGTGTCAGGTTTAGCCCTGGAACACCTTGGAAACGATGCTGGTGTGTGATTTCACCCCCAGATGAGAAGGAGTTTCAAAGATTGAAAAAGGAGCAGAAGAAGAAGTCAGTCTATGATCGAAACGCTCCGTTATTGAAAGGCAACATTAAATTCTACGAGACCAAAAAGACCAAAAAGGTCAAGCCAATCGCTACAGTCACGGATGCGTTCTCTGCATTTGCCATCTACCCACAGTCTCGGCCACTAATTGATCAATCCACATTGGTGAAGGTCGAAGGCCGAATAACGATACACGGCAAATCTGAATCAACTGCTGAAGGATTTGTTTTCGTTCTACCAGAGCTTCATCCTGCAGTTTCCGGTTTAGAGATGATGCTTCGTTGGCTATTTCCGGTTTATGATACGTTTGGTCTCTACGGAAGACCAACCAGACTAATTGCGGATACCCTGAATACTCGAAGTTTAATGTTTGCGCTCCCAAAACGACGGCAACCTGGATATCTCGACATTTTTGATGTGACTACACTGATACATACCGAGGGAAGCAATAATTGGACCGAACGGGAATGGCGAAAGGCGCTAAAAGATGTCACCGTTAAACGAATGACGAACAATAATAGTCGAGAGAGTAGCATGACTGGAAGCGGGCGCTTTAATCGAAATAGCATAGCGTCGCAAAATGGTGTACCTTTGAGGTTTGCGAATGGTGCACCACCGCCCTCTTTGACAGGGAGACCAGAACCTAATCGCTCTAGCGATGGAAATATAAAAATTCCGAAAGCTGGATTGGGTGTTCCGCCAGATCGCAATTCGATGGGTCATAGACACTACCGCGGACAAGGATCTCCACCATCCCTATCATCTGGTGAAAAAAGTTTGTCGGAAGAAGCTGAGCTAGCCCCGGAGCCGCCAATGCATAGAAACTCTCAGTACGATGGAATATCTGGTCCCACCGGATACACTCGAAGAGATAGTGCTAATAGCGAACTGAACAACTACCAGGTCCAAGACCGCCAAGCACTCAGTAATGGATATCAACAGAGCCCGCCCCCTGCACCTGTAGCCATGCCCCCGGCTTTCCTTCATGATCCCAGAAAGGCGCCCCCTGTTAGGCCTCAACCGTCACCGGGCTTTCAAAAAGCAGGGAACCGGTTGTCACAAGGAACCTTATCCCAAATGGTCGATATGAACATGAACATGACCAGGAACTTGGCTGCGACGGGGGCAGCAGTTGCTTGGAGTGAGCAAACTTCGGCCCAACAGCCGTATCATCAAGGTCAGCGAGGGGATGCGGAGAATGCTGGTAACGAAGAGAAAAGTTCCACTGATATGAATTTATCGACCCAAAGCCAAGTAAGCCTTAGAACGTCGAAGCCGTCTTCCCAAGACAACAACGCTCCTGTAGTGGATGGCCCAATCCTAAACTCCCCGAGTCCCGATTCCTATGAGAACCAGAGCTCTGGAATGAACTTTCTTTCCATCGATACCCACAAAGCAACCTCCCCAAAACCGGTCGCCCAGACTCCATATGGTTCTGAAAGTCCGCCCTCTGAAAGAGCTTCGACTCTAGATAGTATGCGTCATGCGATTGACATTGATGCATTAGACAGAATCATAGCTCGAGGGCGGTCTCCCACGGTACCAGTGGAGAATGTCCAGGATGAAGAAAGCGTATATGACCAAAGTTCAGTGTCCTCGCCTGACTATGCCAGCTCTCACAAGTCCTCAGTCTCGCGGCGGTCGCAAAAGTCATTAAAGCCAAGAATGGGAGTACTGAAAGTTGTTGGAGACGAGGGGCCAGAAAAATCAGAAGTAGTGATTGGTGATGCCCGTTATCAACGTTCTGACCCCCTTACCTCTCGCAGAGACAATCCGGACATCCCCCCTGTCGATTTTGGGCCAACACAGGCTTATATGCCCACGACGAGGCGACCCAGTACCTCAGATACGCTAGTGCTGTTAACTCACAAGCGGATTCCTTCAGATGTTACCATCGGCCGAGAAAGGCGAGGGCCTTCAAGGGAAACAAGCCGGGGTCCCCACCTCCCGAAAACTCCATCCAACGACGACCACCGACGAAACATCATCTGGCAACCCGGGATGGTGAGCGGGTCAGTGAGCCCTGGCCCTCATATCACACCTGAAGAGTTTGTCCAGCGGAAGGCAGGTGCAAATTGGCTCAGCTCTCCCATTCGTTTCCCGCCGGGTACTACTCAACCTCGACCAGCATCTGGCGATTGGACAAACCATAGCCGCCAACAATCAATGAAGCAAGACCTACCAGCCCGTCCGCACTCGCGAGGCGCCATTGTCATGTTGGGTCACTCTGGACTAGGATCTACACCACCCCCGTCTGGGGATTGGACCAATACAGCACGACAACAAGCAATGATGCGGGAAATGCCCCCTCGTCCACACTCTCGTGGGGCTAGTGTAATGTTCGGACATTCTGACATTTGCCCCCAACTCTCCGCACGGGAGCAAGAATATGTCGCGCGCGTGACCGGGTCTTCCTTCTTCAACATTAGTAGTGAAAACCAAAGTGAGGCCCCGGTTCACGGCGCAAGCCTCGTAAGCGCCATAGACGCTCGAGAACGCGAGAAAAGGGCTATCAAGGAGGGTCTTAGCGGGCAAATGGTCCAACAAGCTATCGCCCAACGCCAATATCGACAAGCGCAAACCCCATCACCATTTCAATCACAACCCGTGCCAGCACAATACCAAGCAAGCTCACACTTTACACCACAATATTACCAGTATAACAGGTCCGATAGTACGCTTGGTGGCTATGGCTCTGTTTACCCACACCAGCATCAATCACCAAGCCAATGGTCGGTCGACCAACACCAACGCCAGCAATCTTTGTTAAGTAGCCAACAACTTCGCTCGCCGCTGCAGTATCAAGAGCAGCCGGTGACAGCTACAGCGACAGCGACAGCGGGATATCGGCCAAATCCTTACTACCAACAGCCACCAGTTCATCATAAAGCGGGTTTGGGAGCCCCACACCACTAGCAGTTTAAACCAAATGAGTCTCGGGAAACAAAAACGCAATAGAGAAAAGTAATCTATGAAACTATTATATATAGTATATACGATGAGATCTCTTGTCGACTTACGGGAATGACGGCTGAAACATTTTATCTTTTTATCTGTTATTCCTCTTTCGAGTCCCTCAATGATCTCGGACGCCCTTTCGTTTTCCTTATCGGCTTTCCCATACTTCCCATACTTCTTACATCATTCTTGTATTCTGTCCATTGCGTCCGTTGCCTGTTATCCTTTTTCTAGCAGTTTTTCTATATACAATCATTGCATCAACCATCATTAGAATATGTGCTATCATTTTTGTATTTGGGATGAGCTATGTCATTTTCTTGCTGCATGATTTTTTCCCCCCTCCTTGTTCTCTTTCTATTACTTTTCTTTTCTTTTCATTGTTTTCATATAGCATCATCAAACCTGCACAGCCTTTTTTTTTCTTTTTTTTTTCTTTTTTTTTTCTTTTTTTTTTTCTTTTGCTTGCCCTTTTCATTTGCCCTCCTCATACTTCCATTCCGCCTTTGTTTTACTTTGCATGGATGCTAGATAGGTAGATAATGCTTGCCATATTCAATCTGTGAATCTAACACACAACAAACCTGTATTTTTACATATCTATATCAGTTCCACCCATGCTCTTTCATATCTTCACACTTTGTTTTTAAAAAAATTCCTTTTTAATATCTCTTCCCCTGATGAAAAAAGTATTAGAACTCTTATTTACACCCTCTTTCTCTGAAGCTCATTTTTGATCTTTGTTGTCTGTGCAACTATGCTCTGACCACTGAAACAGTGTCATATGACTCATGTTCATTGACGAGTGTCGTATGAATATTGAAGAGAGGTAAAAAATGAAACTATCTAAGGGAGTAATAATAAATAAAATAAAGTATTCTATTCTTACTTGTCAGCTGTAAGACAAAAAGTTAAATAAGTAAAAATTTCGCTTCACGTCGCTGCATAACGTAGAGTACAGTTTCGAAACAAACACCGAGAAAAATATATATGGAAAGGATTGGGGAGCAAAAAATGGAAGATGAAACAAAACGCCATACATAAAATCTCGTGACAAAAGCTGGAGAACAAAAAATAAAAAAAGAAAAATGGAGAAAAAGGGGGTAGAATTTGTTGACACGTCACTTATTTTGAGATTCCTCTATCATGAAAGTTTTGTTGGGTTGGTTTGGGTTCGATGGGTGGAAGAGGTAAAAAGGGGAGGACGCGCGACACATTCACACACACATACACACCGCACCGCCCGGCGCCCCTTCTCCTTTCCCCCTTTTTCATCTCAATCATATCCGCCATCCCAATCCGACTGAAGTCGAAAATGATCCTAGACCTTTTTGCGGAAGTAAGCAAAAAAGTAAAAGTATGTCGAGGATCAAAATAGGTTAAATAAACCTAGGAAAATCAAGAAATAGAAACACCAAACCGAATCCGGAACCCGCAGAATGACGAGGAAAAAAAAAAAAAAAAAAAAAAAAAAAAAAGAGACAACTAGATCAGCTCTTATGTAGCTTCTTCACCCGCACAGAGCCCTCATACAGCGCCCTGTCAATAGCCGCGGCAACAGTCAGCGTTCCTCCAATAACCGCGCACACGCCGGTCAGGAAGCCAGAAAAAGTCTTCGTTCGCGCCTCGCGATTGATCACCTTCATGGGGGAAATATCATAGTTGACAAAAACACCCGGGATACCGCCTTGCGAATGTAGGCGCTCCTTGTGTCCCTCTTCAGCATCGTTACCCCCGTCCACAGACCGTTTGTGCGAGGTCACGGAGTACTGGTGCGTTTCAATGCTTCCACCTGAGCCCAAACTGACCCCTTGTTTGCCCAAGGGCACATTGTTGGACACCTTAGAATGAACTGTACTAGACCAGTCGTCATCCCATCCCAGCGGCAGGTAGGAGGTAGCTACGACTTTTACAAAGTACGCAAAGTTGAGTCTGGGGTTAGTTGTGTGTTGCTCAGTGTTATCAAGCGGGTTGGTATGGTGATGGTCAGTCCATTTCCAGCGGCGGGAAACCTCATCGGGCAGCTGGGGCCCGAAGCGGAGGTAGTGGATTTTATGGCCCACGTTATGCGGTATGGGAGTGTTGTAGTAATTGTTCAGGTCGTGGGCGTGCATGTTGCCATTTGTGAAGCTGCGGCCAGGCGCAATGTGGAAGTTGCCGATAACTTTGTTAACGCGGATCACTCCTTCAACACGGCATCCTTCCTTTCTCTGGGCGTCTAGGTTGGCGCTATATCCTTCCTTTTCGCATTGCTCGACATTTTCTCCTCGTCCGAAGGACCAACGCTTCGCTGCGTATGCCTCTCTAACCTCATCGCAGGTATTACAGCACCCAGGTTTTTGTGCATTGGGTGGCGCGGGGGCTCCGTAGCATGAGCCACAGTAATTTGGGTCTAGGTCTTTTGCATTGTCGGTTTTAGAGTGTCTATGTCCCGTACCTTTTATTAGCATTTAAATTGTCGATTTACATAACCTAAGAAGCATTAAAGATATGTAACTCACAATTGCAGAGCAGTAATATCGAGAACCTGGCCTCCCTCCTCTGCCGGGCTGAGGCGCAATTTATTGACACCATGGACAACCTCTGTCTGATACTCGCCGGAAATATCCATGACATCCAGTGTGAGGAGCTCACAAGGTAGATTTGGGAAAGTTACGTTTAAGTGAATTTCCATTCTCTCCCCTAAATAACATTGAACGGCTTAGCTCTGCACCCACGCAATATCCTCAGTTCGCAAGAGGCAACATACCTCTGCCCTTATCAACAACCAACTCTGGCAACACCACTACACGTCTGTACTCCGACCATTCACCCCATATGAGGAAGAAGATAATGATCAGTGCAGTTATTGTGACAACCCCCCCAGATCTGGTTCGTATCCGCGCATCCTCGACGGTTTTTGTGAAAGCGTCTAGTCGTGCAAACCGTGACTTAGGAGGCATTGTATCGGAAACTGCGCGATTGCGAGTGCTCGAGGGGGAGCTGAAGGCGAGATCTAGTCGTTATTAACAAGAGGAATTGCCCAAGTACCTCCTCAACTTGGCAGGTTTAGCTTCTTCAGCGAATGAATCATTCGACGAGGTTTGGCAGCGCCAAGAGTGTACAGGTTAGAGACTACCAATTTGTTTCATAATAATAGTACAAGAAAGTTATCGAGTAAAAAAGGAGACCCGGAAATCTCGAATCCCAAACCAACCTTGAGAACGAAAGCAGCTGCTGATTGGCCAGAACTTGATGCCAGATAGGCCAAAAGTAGCCGCGTCATGTGATCGCGTTTAGTAGTGCCCAATAAGCGACACCCGCACTTGAGCCTCCTTGACAGGGGCAAAAGTTGTTTCCATCTTGCTGTCCGGTCATATATTTTGCGTTCTTCCCTCCCGTGCTTGCTGCCTGCCAGCTTAACAACGCCGTATTTAGCCCATATACCTCTACCGTTAGCCAATACTTATTTTATTCTCGCGTTATATTCTCCTTCGGCTGGCCCTGTTTGCCAAACGTCTCCACTCCTCCCAACTATTTGAACCTCATGCCGACTGCCTCCTCTGAGGGGCGAGTATAAAACCTACTTTTGCCCGCTCCTGCCCGCCATACGGATACCATTCCATCTCACTGAATGCTACGGCCGATAATTCAGCTGTCCCCCGCACAATGAATAGCTCAAAAGCTACGAAAGGCGGCCGCAGCCGCACCGGAACGCCAGATCGGGGAGGAGGAATTCGCAAACGAGGGGCCCCTTCTCGCGTAGATCGGGATGGTGACCTGGACATGGATGGCGCTGTGTCTGGAAGAGGGCGCGGAGGACGAAGTCGCGGGCGTGGTGACTCTGGGGGCAGGGCTATTCCAGGAGCTGGGGGCTTGGGTCAAAGGAGAGAGCCGAGACGGCTAGGCGACAAAGAAAAAACTTTGGATGCACTGGAAAAAGCTATCTTCAGCAATGCATCCTCCCAGGTGAATATCGGACACGGTCGCCCTCGGACACAGGGCAAAGGGTTGGTTCAAGTCAGCGTGCGGGGATGGAAACGCAGCAAAGCGGCTTCGAATCCCGACGGTGGTATTGAAAGCCTCATTTTGTTCCTCGAGAGAAGAGCCCACCCCCCAAACCAAGGCACTGCGGCCCACTCACGATTTAAAATTTCCAAGGTATGTGCAACACCACATTCTAGCGGCCACCGACGTATTCGCAGATACATCCTCCCTGGGCTGTTTACCCTTTCGCGCCGAATGCCCCAGATCGACGATTGAGACACTGTCTAAATATGTCGTACAACCGTTGGATTCCTTCAGTTTATCAAGGTTATTAAGCCTTGCTAACGTTAACTAGTCACATGTCGAAGGGGATGCTTTAATTATATCAGTTCGCCCGGAGCAGGTGGGATGGGTTTTAAAGGTCAACGGTTCGAGCTTTGCGGGCGAGCCACTTACTATTGAAGAATACCGCGACTCCAGTGTCAGTCACACACAAAAGAAACCACTATCGGAAGCCGCCCTCGATACAAAGGCTAGAATGACTGCGTTTTTAAGGAAGAGATACTCTGAGCCAGGGAAACTCTTAAACCTTTCACAGCTTGGCACCGATCAAGACCTTCTCGACATGGGCATGTTCAACACTGCTGCTACGGAGTCTAAATTCTTTCCGGCTCTCATGAAAATATGCGAACTTACATTCGACTCTCCCGATAAACGAAGGGATCTTGTCCACAGTGTCACCCTGGCTCAGAATAAACTTCCGAATGTTACTTCTGTTACTACGCTATCACAAACATTCCCAGCTCTTAAACATCTCGATTTATCAAACAACCAATTTAAGGATATTCAATCACTACTTGCTTGGAGGTGGAAATTTAGAGATCTCGAATTTCTCGATCTTACAGGAAACCCAATCAGCGCTGACCCAAACTTCAAGGAAACTATGCTCAAGTGGTATCCCAGACTCAGAACGCTAAATAATGTTACCGTGCGAACAACGGAAGAAATAGCTGCTCAACGGAAAACTCCGATCCCGATCCAACCTGCTAGTTTCCAAGATGAATCCCGAATTGGTGAAAATTTCGTAAAAGCATTTTTTACTGGATTTGACAACGATCGAAACGACCTGGTGAGTGGGATCTACGACGCCAAATCGACCTTTTCACTAAGCGTCAATCCCGTGGCTCCACGAGGCCTGCGAGGAAATAACGTTTCAGGATGGGATTCGTACATCAGAAAAAGTAGAAATCTCCTGAGAGTTAGCCATCTCCCTGCGCGAATGGCCCGCATCTTCGTTGGTACCGAAAAAATTCGCGAAGTATGGAACTCGTTGCCAAAAACGAAACATCCTGATATTCTTGCAGACCCAAAAGAGTGGCTAATAGAATGCCATCCCATCCCTGGTCTTCCCGATCCCACCAGCCAGAGCGCCACAGGGGTTGGCGGTCTTCTTATAACCGTCCATGGAAAGTTTGAAGAATTTGAGGAACCAGCTATGAACAAAACACAAATGCGGAGTTTTGATCGTACTTTCGTCCTTGGACCAGGCGGTGGAGTTGGTGGTTTACGAGTTGTTAATGACATGCTCTGTTTGAGGGCATTTGGCGGGTCCGAAGCATTTGTTCCAGAGACGGAACAGCCTCCTACGAACGCAGCTATTCCACAAGCTGCGCAGACATCTATTCCGGCCCCGATCGCCGCTCCCATCCCAGGCCCTATCACGACCCCGATCCCCACCACCCAGCAAGTTCATCCTGAGGCAAAAGATGGTTTCGGATTAGCAGTACCTGGAAAGCCAGAAGAGCAGGTCCAGAAGGAACGAACTATTCTGGAAACCAGCTTCCGAACGAAAATGACATTAGCATATTCAGAGATGGCTTTGTCTGGAAACAACTGGGACATAGAAGCAGCGTTGAAGAACTTTGAAGAGTTGAAGGTGAGTCGCATCCACATATTGCATGCCCGCATATAATTTGCTTTGACACTAACACGGGAAACTCGACAGAATCAGGGAAAGCTCCCTCCGGATGCGTTTTTGACTGGAGTATAATTACAATCTATTCATATAGCGAACTATTGGCAGGGGTTGGGATATAGAAGAAAGCATGCAACGCCTATTGATTTTGGGACGGTCATTTACTGGAGCACTAAAAGGAACATATCAGGTAATTCTGAGGAAGCGGCCAAGGCAAGAGAGATTGAAACTGCTGGACTGAGCGCTGTTGCTGAACAAGCAGCCAGCTCAAATGGGCGCTACAGGTGTTTGTGTTTTGCTACTTTTGAAGTTTATATCTGAAGGCACTACGAAACGGTATTGTTGCTGCACTCAAAGGGGTTAGGTTCAGTTAGATATAGAAATTCGTTTCGATGCAGGACCAATGGAAGACCAACTTGCCACGGTAGCAAGGTACAATTATCTGAGATGTATCAGTTAGATAAGCGACTACATAAACTATTTCGAAGTCCCATACTTAAATTGTAGTAATATAAGCAACATATCATATTTCCCCCATTTTTATAAGTTTGAAAAGGAGATCTCCAAATATGTCACGTGATAGTTCAGCCGACCTGCGTATCTACGGCTGTGTCCAATAATCTACAGGCAAACACTTTATGTATAGCTCACAGAACAACCAATCTACATCGATGGTCCCTATGAACCATATATATTGAGTATTCGCATAAGACCACATGTTACCAGAGTGAGCCGCATTATGTGGCCGGGTGTGACGTCCAATTCATTGGGATGTCACCCACCACCGTCCTCATGACGGAGAACGGCGTGTCCAATCCGGATCCACTAGATGGAGGCAAGCTAGCAATAGTTCTTTGAATCTCATATACCGAGCTGACAGTGATTTTTGTAGCCGACTACGATCCAATAGACCACCTTAATGCCATCTTCTCTCACCCCTCCGCCCTCGCATCAGTATACAAAACATCCGAAGCGCTCCAAACGTACCAAGATGAGCTCGACAGTGATATCGCTTCGCTCGTCGAACGACAAGCTGCTTCTAATGCAGAAAGCGTGCAGCGAGTACAAACAGCAAAAACAGACATGACTGAACTATTTAAGAAGATTGATGACGTCCGCGAGCGGGCTTTAAAGACAGAACAAGCCATCACAGAGATGACAGCGGAGATTAAACAACTGGATAATGCGAAGAAGAACTTAACTCTGTCGATGACGGCATTGAAGAGACTGCAAATGCTCACTATTGCGTACGAGCAATTGAAAGCGCTGAGCAAATCAAGGCAATATCGCGACTGTGCGCAGCTACTGGCTGCTGTGATCCAGCTTATGGCCCACTTCAAGTCGTATAGATCCATTGATCAGATTGCTACACTGAGCCGTAATGTGGCTGATATTCAGCGAGAGCTACTCGAGCAAGTGTGTGAAGATTTCGAGATTATATTTGCAAAGGGGGAGATCCCGCAAAGGAAGGGCGTATTGACCGAAGGCTGTTTGGTTATGGAAGTCTTCGGGGATATGGCCAAATCAAGGTTAATAACCTGGTACTGCAACACGCAACTGAGAGAATATCGCCAGGTGTTTCGAGGGAACGAGGAAGCAGGGTCGTTAGATAATATCTCGAGAAGGTATTCTTGGTTCAGAAGAATGTTAAAAACGTACGATGAAGAGCATGCGTCAATATTTCCTCCTTCCTGGAAAGTCGGCGAAATCCTAGCAAATGTGTTCTGTGAAGGGACGCGGGAAGATTTTAAAGGGATCCTATCCCGATCAGTTCGAAGTGGGCAAACGTTGGACGTTAACCTTCTCCTTTCTTGCCTGCAAACGACCCTCGATTTTGAACAGTCCCTTGACAGGCGATTCACCTCGCAATCTCGTGCGTCTTCCGACACATTTACATCGAGTGAATCTCCTGTATTTGGCCAGTCGATATCTGAAGCTTTTGAACCGTACCTTAGCGTATGGATCGAAGCTCAGGACAAACAGCTATCTGCGCTGATACCGAAATATCGACAACAACCAATAAAACCTCCAGATGAGGAGTTTACGTCACGCCTAGTTATTCCTTCTTCTACCGAACTCTTCACATTTTATCGACAATCCCTCGCACAGTGTGCGAAATTATCCACCGGTGCTAGTTTATCAGAGCTGTCGAAGCTATTTGCAAAATATTTGGATCAATATGCCCAGCAAGTGCTCTTGTATTTCGTCACTGAACGCGCAAGTGGACAGACTCCTTCCAAAACTCCCTCTTTAGAAGACCTGATACTTGTCTTAAACACAGCCGATTACTGCTACTCCACATGCAACCAGCTCGAAGATAAAATTAAAGGACGGATCGACGAGCGCTTTAAGCAAAGTGTCGACCTACAGAGCCAAGCCGATGCTTTTATGGGCATTGCCAGTTCAGCTGTACGCGGACTGGTGCGAAAAGTCGAAGTTGGATTGGAACCATCGTGGAAAGAGATGCGAAATACAGCCTGGAACAAGTTAGAAACCGTCAGCGACCAGAGCTCCTTTGTTGCAGTATTGTTAAGCAGTGCCAAGTCACAATCTGAGGAAATCCTAAAAATGCTGCATAAGCAGCAGTATGCGCGAGCATTTGCTGATAATTTCGTGGAGCACCTTTCAAGCACCTACATGGCTAATATCTTCCAGTGCAAGCCCGTATCAGAGACTGGTGCTGAGCAAGTAAGAGCGGCTCCTCCTTAATCAAATCAGACAATCGAACTTTCCCGCAGCTAACAAATCTCACAGATGCTCCTTGACGCTTACACAATAAAAAGCGGAATCGCCAATCTTCTCTCGCCCCCACCAGCCGGATTCACCAAGCGACTCAACACATCCTTCCAAAAAGTCGACCCTCTCCTCAAGACTCTCCAAGTCCGAGCCACCCCGCCGGAAGCCCTGGTACAGGCTTATCTCATTCACATCGCTGACCGAAGCGACACAAACTTCAGGAGAATCCTCGAAGTCAAAGGAATCCGAAATAAACAGGAACAAAACCAACTCGTGGAACTGTTTCAAATCCACAAATCGTCCGACCGCCACGCATCCAACCTACAACAAAACAATCCGCTCTTCACACAGTTTCAGCCCCCGGCGCCGTCGTCCACCGCCCCCTCCTCCTCTGTATCCCAAGGCCTGGGTTTGAGCAACCTAGGTGGAGCTGGCGGCACCTCACTAGCAACAGGCGCTCTTCCAGGCCGATTCGATGCTTCAAGCCTCGGCTCTGCTCTCATATCCGCAGCCAGAGATGGTGTAGATAGGCTGGGGACTCCTCTTGTGGGTGGCTCTGCCGTTGGCGGCTCCGGTATTCCCACAGCGACCTCCCCACCAGGGACGGGGACTCCGGTGGTCGGTTTAGGGGCAAGCTTAGGGCATCGAGGGGACGGTATAGAAGGTACCGGACTGGGGTCAACGAACCTGAATGAGAATCTCAAAAATATTGGAAAGTTCTTTCGGAGGGATTTGGGTGGACTAGGTGGACGGTTTGGGAAGAGTGGGGATGAAGGTGGGGGAAAGTAGACTTGGAAATGGGGACAGTAGATGAACACATTTTGGGATATGTTGTTTATGTTGTTTACTCCAAGCAATGTGGGGGATAGGGGAATCGATTGGTTGTACTGTACGTAGCGGGAGGATAGGGAGACGGATATTGCCGCGCTTGTATTTATATGCCAGTGATATAACCTGATGCAAATTTGACTATTGATATATTGTTGTTCATGTTCCTAGCATCGTCCCGTGCCCGATTGTGATGACCCCTCCGCATTTACCGCTTTCTTCCTGAATACGTTCCCTCGCATTATACTGGAAACGGATACCAGAACGCCACAGATATAAATAACTTGCTATATGAAACGATGAGATTCGGACCCTCCAGTTACAGTAAGTCACATATGTAGGGAACAAAGGTATGTATGTGGCAGCAATTTGGGCTGTATTCATTTCGTAATAGATGATCCTCCAAACTCAGTTGGAAATAAGGGTTGGCTTGACATTGAATTCACATAAGACGAGTCACAAGAATGACTAGAAAAGCAACAATAAAAATGCGTGCAGAAGGTGGGAAACCCATTTTATGGATTATATTATACGAATTCTTATCCCTTTCCTGACATAGGTTAACGGCCAGGCGGAGATCAAGAAATTGGCCTTCGACTACGTGCTTCGTTTGCTCGGCGGGGAAGCAGAATTCTACGAAAGATCGGGCCAGAGTCAGCCAGGGAGGGCGGAAAAATTCTATACCTTGAGCGTGTAGAATGGCAACCTGGTCTGAATTAGCTTCTAGACTTTAAAAAAATATGAAGAATGCGAAGGAACAATGCGTTAAAGAAGTGAGGCGTCATTAAAAAATTAGAGTGTTGTTGTTGCTATTTAGTTGATCTTCATGGAAGAATTGGGGTTAAAAAGATTTAATCATTCGCCAGGAGCGGGAGAGTATTGCATTTATCACTAGGAAAATGTGTGCGGGGTCTGAGAAAATGGGAAAATGGGATATTTGGATACACTTACCACTTGTTTTTGGGATTGGTGAGTATGGCATGTTTGTTTGGCGTGAAACATTGGTGCGTCGCGTAAATATAATTTATGAACGAAATCACATGTCAATTTGCAAGTCGCATTGACAGGTGAGCTTGGATCAAAAATATGCATAATTTTCGCATTTAGCTCTAATGTGCAAGGAAATAACGGCTATAGATATACTACATTCGTTTGCTTCAATGTTCTGTAATTCGACCAATGCACTTTTGCATTTAACCGAAAAGGTCACCAAATCCTATAGCCAACAGTCAGTATACATGTGGAAAATTGAAAATACGGACAAGAAATTTTTTCCGTGATAGGGCTATTTTCATACCTTCTTCTTCGTCGCTTTCCTCTTCCTCAGACTCTGCCTTGGCTTCCTCCTTGGCCTCTTCCCCTTTTCCAGCTTCGGCAACTGGGGCAGCGACAGCATAGGCCTCAGGATTGGCAATGCGATCCTTGAGCTCTTCGATCTCGCTCCAGCCGTATTCGGTCTCGACCGCAATCGCAAGCAGGTTCTTGTAGGAGTTGACAACTGAGTGCATGACGGATGGCAGGGTGGGGAAGTTGGTAGCCAGAGAGATGGTGGTGATGGTGCGGATGGCAGACTGGAGGGTGGCCAACAGCTGCTCCTCGCCAACGTCCAAAACCTCCGGGCTGAAGGTCTGGCCCTCATCGTAGATCTGGACAACAGACATACCGTAGGTGAACGGAGAGATGTTCAACATGTTGAGGAGGGTGGCCTCGGAAGCACCAACTTTCGAGCCAGCCTCAACAAGCTTTAGATCGGCGGTGATTTCAATGGTACCACGAGCAATCTTGGTAGGGACACCGAGAGCCTGGAAGAAAGAGGTTTTTCCGGGTTCCATGCCAGTGTTGCCAGCAGGGACATAGACATCCAAGGGAGCGATGGCACCGGCACGAGCAGGGGCAGCAATTCTGTTAGAAAGAACCTTCTCTCTGACTTCTTTCAAGTCAGCGTTGGTGAAGATGAAGCCAACATTGCCCTTGACGTGAGGCAAGAGACGTTCATATTCTGGGTTATCCGCGACAAAGCCCTTGATGGCACGGCGAACCTAATTGGAGATCAATTGTTAGCAATCCGCTTCCGGGAGGGAGTATCGCTTCTTGATTGGCATACCATGGTGTTCTTTCCCATGAGAACGACGGCCTCGCCTCTCAGGCTGAGGCGGATTTCGTGCATCTGCTGCGAGCTGACATTGTCGACGGTGACGATGAGGACCGAGCGGTACTCATCGAGCAGCGTCTTCAGCTTCTCGAAGTAAGCAGATTTGTTAGCGGACCTGCCCCCCATGTCTTCTTATTGGGATGAAGATAGGATGTTTAAGGGCGAGGTAAATATCGTGGGAGGGAATTGGAGGTGTTGATATAGAGGTTGGTGATGGTTAATCTTTTTCCGAAAGATTGTGATCGGGATTTTTGTTCTTGTGGATTTCGGCTAACTAGGGCCAAGCCTCGGTCACGTGGATTTCACTCCATCCATCGCCCAACCCGCCAGAAACAAGCCGTGGATAGTAGATCCCTTCCATTGGAAGATGAATTGAACTACGCTTAATTGTTCTTATATACGCAGTAGACTATACTCCGTACCCCTTTCCTCAGTTGCAAAATTCTTAGCTAGCATAGATCTGATTCATCTGCGGATTATTACCACATCCTGTTCATTTGGCGAGCTTTCAACAGGCCCTAGAACTCGCCAAGACCGGACTTCATTAGCGCATCATCCGCGAGACAGACAAGAAAAAAAATTACACAGCGGAACAACGATCCTTAGAACATACGTTCGCATTCGTAGTTCAATTATCAGACCATGCCTTTCCAGCACCCCTTCCAGTGCATACAATGCCTGGGAAATCGGGCGCGGGAAGCTCCAAATTTCCTCGTGGGCGCTGCTGGACCAAGGCTCTATGTGCTAGATGGCCACACAGGTAAGTCGCTCTCTGTCTGGCCGTCGAATAAAGAGATGGCGGCGACCAAGGTCCCTCATGCAACCAATGCAGACTCGCATAGTCAGGGCAATGCTGAAAGTAGTGAGCCTCGTGAGAAAAGGCGGAAACTTTCACCAACAACCCAACAGGAAGCTGCCAGCGTTGAAGGAACCACGGCATACGAGGGTAAAGCAAACGGGCCAGATAAATCGCAAGAGTCGAAACTGGCCTGGTCGACGATCCCAATTGTGACAGCCTCAAAATCCGGGAACCACGTCGTTGTAGTTACTGCAGAAGATAAATGCATCCGGGTCTTTGAGGTGAACACGAGCGGAGTGCTCTCTCAGTTGAGCGAACGGTAAGTATTACTTGATAAACCTCGGAACATGAAAAGATACTCGTCAACTGTACTAACAAAAGCATAGATGTATGCCCAAACGACCATGCGCAGTTGTACTGTCCAGCGACGAATCTACCATTATATGTGGAGATAAATTCGGAGACGTCTACTCTCTCCCACTCTTCCCAAGAGAAGACTATAAACCACCTCCCAAGAAAAGCGCGCAGCTCTCACACCCAGCTCAGCCATCTGCTTCTGTACTCACAGTTCATACGAAGCGCAATCTGCAAGCGCTCGAGCAGCAGCTGAAACTCGGCGCGAAGATTTCAACTGAGAAAGCCAGCCCTACATTCGAACTCAAACTACTGCTAGGACATGTGTCCATGCTCACTGACGTCGCATACGTGGACTTAGGCGTCGATTCCGAATCCGCTGTTTGCCGACCTTTTATAATAACTGCAGACCGAGATGAGCATATTCGGGTCTCCCGAGGGCCCCCTCAATCCCATATAATTCAGACCTACTGTTTAGGTCATACGGCATTTGTGAGTAGATTATGTGTCCTGCCATGGAGCGCGTCGACTTTAGTATCCGGTGGGGGGGATGATTATATTCTGGCGTGGCGTTGGGCAGAAGGAAAACTTCTGCAAAAGATTCCGATTCCACTAGACGGCATTGTTAAGGAATCGAACGAAGAGTCTGCTACCGCAGCGGAACCGTCCGCACCAGGAATTGCGATAAATGGAATATATACGGTCTCCTTTACAGACAATTCTTCCTTGAGCGAGAAGGCACCCGGTGCAATTCTCGTAACTTTAGAAGGGTAGGTAATACAGACCGGATATTTGGATGTGTATGTATGAACGTCGATAAGCTAACGTTTTTTCGCGCCAGGATCCCAAAACTCTTTCCATTCAGGTTTAATCCTGATGGTAACATTACCGCGCAAAAACCCGTCCATCTTTCAGGGAATGCATTTGGGGTCGTGTCACCTGATAACAAGGGCAACATTATCGTATCGGTCGACAATGTACACAAGCCTGGATCCACAACGGACCAGCGAAAATCGCCAGATACAGAGCAACAACTTCTTCAGGTGTTTTCAGTAACGTGGGAACGAGAAGAGTTTAAGTGGACAGAGGTTGACAGCAAGATGGCCATGGCGGTCAGCAATCGTGGTACTTTTGCTGTAGCTAGTTCTGAAGATGAAAAGGAGGCAAAAAAGCATGCGCAGGCCCTCACATCTACGTTATATAGTGTCGGGAATCTGAGGAAGTGGGGGAAAGGGGACGATGAATGAATTCCCCAAAGCGTTCATTGAATCTACTACCCGATTTTATAGTCCTGTATGCAAGTTATGAAATCTGCGCATAGAGAAAATTTTATAAACAATTGAAACAGGAACCTGATACTCTTAATTAATCAACTTCTGGGTATATATTATTTCCATTGTTTCAAAAATAACAAAATAAAAAGATATGACTGGATAAGAGGGGGGGAATATTGCATGTGGAAAATAAATGCCTGCTCTCGAACTCTTTATCTAAATCTTCCCGTTCCAGGCTCCGTAGTAGTCGGAACTATTTCGTCACAACTTATTTTCTCTCGTCTCTCCTCCATTCGCAACACCAACTCACTCCCCCCCCAAAATGTCGTCGCATCAATTCGAACCCCTTCAAAATGATCTTCTTCTCAGAGCTGCTCGAGGTACATGCTCATTAAGATCCCGTCAGTTAATATAGTGGCTAATTGATGTTGTGATTTCTAGGCGAGAAGATAGAACGCCCTCCAATATGGATTATGCGACAAGGTTCGCCAATTTTACCCCACCTCTCCCCCTCCAATCCCTTCAACTCCCGGCCTTTGCACCTATTCAAAGAGAAAAGAGAGAGAAACGATGAAACCCGATGGTGTAGGACGGAAAAATGAAATAATCATAAAAAAAATTCCTAGCCAGATAGGACCAATTACTAACTTAACACACCGCTTCCCACAGCTGGCCGCTACCTCCCCGAATACCATCAGGTAAAGGCCAAAAATGACTTCTTCGAATGCTGTCGCTCCCCCGAAATCGCCTCCACTCTCACTTTACAGCCCATCGAGCGCTATTCAGGGCTCATTGATGCCGCCATCATCTTCTCCGACATCCTCGTCATCCCACAGGCCATGGGAATGACCGTCGAAATGATCGACAAGAAAGGGCCCAGCTTCCCGGAACCACTAAAATCCCCCGACGACCCGCAGTACCGCCAGGTGCTAGACAAGAAAGTCGACGTCGCAAAAGAACTCGACTACGTCTACAAAGCCATCACACTCACACGACACAAGCTGAAGGGCCGCGTACCGCTGATCGGCTTCTGCGGCTCACCCTGGACCCTGCTCTGCTATATGGTCGAAGGGGGCGGGAGCAAAATGTTCATCCAGTCCAAGACGTGGGTGTATCGATATCCCGAGGCGACGAAGGCGCTGCTGCAGAAGATTGCAGAGATCTGCGTCGAATACCTTGCCCTGCAGGTCGCGGCGGGTGCGCAACTCGTGCAGGTCTTCGACTCGTGGGCTGGCGAGCTGTCGCCGTCGTCGTTTGCGGAATTCTCGCTGCCATATCTGCGCTATATCTCTGCGAATTTGCCGAAGAGACTGGCGGGGATGGGCCAGGAGGTCGTGCCCATGACGGTCTTCGCGAAGGGGGCGTGGTATGCGCTGGATGCGCTGTGTGACTCTGGGTATAATGTTGTGGGCCTGGATTGGTTGCATGATCCGGCGGAAGCTATGAAAATTGCCCGAGGCAGGGTTACGTTGCAGGGCAATGCGGATCCGGGCTGCTTGTATGGCACCCGTGAGTCGATTACTGCGATTGTGGAAAATATGGTGCAGGGCTTCTGGGGTGAGAAGCGTGGATGGATTGCAAATTTGGGTCATGGTACGTAAATCATATTACCCTATGGATTTAGTTGGTTTGGAAAGGGAAATGAAGATGTATGGATACTAATACCCAGGAACTATAGGAATTACTCCTCTTGTTGACCCAGAGGACTTGAAATTCTACTTCCGGGAAATTCACCGCCTAACATCCGCATGAATGAGAGAATAAAAGGGCCAATGGAAGGTTACAAAAAGTTAGATAGAAAAGATCAAGGGGGGAAGCTTCGAGCTTGTTTACGGTCATGATATGTACACAAACATCAGCTAGAAAAAATCAACATACAGAACGCATTGACATATGTTTATGGTGATCCAATCCAATCCAAAAGTCCGCGCCTATATTTAAAATCTAAACCCCCTTTCTTCTTTCTACCTCTGCGTTTATCCAGTCCAACGTTATAGTCTCACAGCCCAAGATCATCCTTCCTAATAAACAAAACCCGATCAGCACAATCCAATAGACTACACCAAGAAGCAAAAATAAAAAACAAAATAGCCGTCTTCCCAGTCCACTCACCAAATGTCAGGCCTCTCCTGAATAAACTTCTGCACCATCTCTATACACTCCTTATTATCAAGCACAACAACTTCCACCCCTCTATTAATCAGGTACTGCTCGCCGCCCATGAACGTGGTGTTCTCACCCACCACAACCCGCTTCAACTTGTATAGCACGCAGGCACCGGTGCACATGTCGCACGGGGACATGGTGGTGTACATTGTTGCGCCAACGTAGGTGGAGGCCGGTAGCCGGCCGGAGTTTTCGAGTGCGGCGATCTCACCCTATTAAGGCGGGAATTTTGGTTTTAGTTAACTTATATATTGTAATTCAGTATGGAGAGTCATTTTGGGTATAATTTTGAAATATCCCCCTGTTTGTTATACTCCCCGTATATAGAATTATCTAAAGAATGAACGAATTTCGAAACAATAGAATAAACCAACAAGAGGGAAAAAAAAAGGGGAACAGACATGTAAAGTAGCGCTCCCTTTCTGCACGCGCATGTTGTGGCCGCGGCCCAGGATCTTGCCGTCCCTGGCGACTAGACAGGCGCCGATGGGGATGCCGCCTACTGCAGCGCTCTTCTTGGCCTCTTCCAGAGCTGCGATGAAGCCAGGATCCTGTGCTGACATGGTGTCTTTTTTAATACTTTTTTCTCTTTACCTGACGGTTTTAACAGGAGAGTCTATACATATGAGAATGTATTCGTTGGGAATCGTGGCAGCTGCTCTAATATAATATGGTAAGGGGAAATTGAGAATAATAATAAACAATTTTTAACAATAATGTTGTACTTTGCGGGTATATATGGTTCTATCAATTGAGTTGGATACAGGTATATATAAACATTTCTTTCCCTAGAATTGTGAATTGTTCCCATATTCCATCGGAGGGAGCCGCACCCAGCCGGAGCTTCCCCGCCACAGCTAGTTTCTTATTGATAAAGCTTCATAACCGCTCGTTCAACTGTGCAGCCCGGGAATGTTGGTGGTCTCGATAGACCGCCGTGATTTTTTTTCCATAGTTTTATTTTGTGTAAAAATACGTATTTAATAGAATTCTATGATGAAATATTATCTAATGATATTGAATTTGAATTCTTCATGTCTAAAGGTTCTATACGGAGGTTTTTTTCAAAAGTTTTGTGTGAAAGGTGTAAAGCTTGCTTGATTGAAGATTACTAGCTAAATAATAGAAATCAGAAAATACTGTGGCATGTTGGAGCTACTACACAAGCCCTAACCCACGTGACCCACACACATATATTTAGCTTCCACTAGCTGCTAGTTAGTTAGAAGATAACAACAACAACCAACCACGTTCAACCTCTCTCACATGGCATGGCATAGTGTGACAGCTGATTAAAATTGATTTATAACTGTGTCATGCTTACTCACTCTCTGTAGTGAGTGCACCACAGTGTACAGAAAATCACACTATATAGAAAATATTTTCAATATCTTCATTCTTCATCTTCAAATAATTATTATTAATTATAATTATGTCTAAATCTTCTAATTACACAGAGAAGCAGTTGTAAAGAGCTGTTAATACATATAAAAGTAATTTAAAATTTAAAATTATATCTCTGTTATAAGAATTCAAAGTCTTATATATACTATCTTATATAAGAGAATTAATAGAAAGAAATCAAGAACTATGAGAATTTCACTGAATTAAGTATTAAATGACAGTCAGAAAGAGATAATTAAAATATGAATTTATTAGTTAAATATTAATTTTTACTTATTTATTATTAAGTATATTAAAGCTGCTGTGAACTGTATATTAAGACAGTATTATATAGATTCAGAGACTGTATCTCTCATAGTAAGTAAGATATAAATATATTAATTTATTAAATATCTGTCAGATTATAAATGAGTTAAGCAAAAACTTATGAATTTAAAATAAATATTTTATAAGAATATAAGCTTCATTATTAACTGATTTAATTAATATAAAGCTGTTTTCAATTAATATCAATTTTTTTACTGTGATATCTACAACTTTAATAAGATTGAATTTCAAGAAAAAGAAGAATATAAATAATAAATTATAACTATCTTTAGAGATATAAATTCTATTATATAGTTATTATACTCTTATAGATTAATAACAGTGATAAAGTATATTAGTATAAATAACACAGTATTGAATTCATTAATTATAATAAAATTAAAGATTTATTTAGAGAATTAATATATATACTTTAACTAGACTGACTGCTGAGATTATGAATTTCACATTTAATCTCATTTGATCTGATCTCATACATTTCTTGGCATGAATCCCGCTGGGACTGGCTATCAAAAAAACATGCAAAGTGACTATATATCAGATTTTAAAATGAGACCATGACTTGAAAAAAATGAGAAAGTGATTTCATTTGATCTCATTTAGTCTCATTCTTGATATAAAGTTACTATTTTTAGACATTTTAAGGTTTTTTTTAGACTATTTTTAATTTTTTAAAAAGTAATGCTTTTTGATAACACTCAAATGAGATTTAAAGTCATTTAAAGCAATAAAAATAATTTAAATTGAGAAGTAGAAATCATGATTTCATTTGAAAAATGTGATAAGAGTAGACAGTAAGTCTCACTGAGACAGTATGAGAGTACTATCTAATGTTAAAACTGTGTAATGAGATCAGTTGAATTAGTAATGAAACTATCAAAAAATCTGGTCCTGGTCTCAGACACGGTTACACGGTCAGTCTAACTTTAACTTATCTGATAACTATATTATTACTGTATCTAAGTCTGACTTTATAAATAATAAGATTGAATTTAAATGAATTAAACAGTTTAATAAGATGATAAAAAAGTATTAAATAAGCAGTTATTAACTGCTATTAATAAATAATTATAATTCTTATCTTATAGAAGAATTCATTCAATACTGTAATCTTTATAAGATTATTCTGTTCAGATTTTTATCTTATATAAGTTATATTTTATAATTTCTTAATAATATATCTTTTCAGCAGTATAAGTATTATTATATAAAGACAGTTAATAAGACTATTTACTATAAATATAAGTAGTATAATAATAGATAATTTCTTACTAATCTGAAGAGTATCTAACTATAAGTATTTAAATCTAATAATGTAAGAGCTGACTTTACTGACTGCAGAATGTATTCAGTTAATTATAATATAATTCTTAATTAATTAAGATCTCTTATTATTGATAATGCTCTGAATCTTAATATATATAATAATAATAATAATATATATAATTACTTTACTCTATTATCTGTAGATTAACTATTAACTATCTTCTTATAATTAATCTTCTCAGAGATAGTTGTAAAACTATATTATTAAATTAATACAGTAGTTAAAATCTTAAAAGATGTGAAGAATACTCTTATATCTAATTTAATAAAACAGTTGAACAAGATCTTCAAGAGTAGTATAATTCAGACAGAATTGAATATATACTGTAAGAATAAACTTACAGATTATTATTAAATAAATAAATATTAAGTTATTAAATTCTCTCACAGACAGATACAAGTAGATGAAGTTCTCATTATTAAGAATACTAATTGTAAGATTACAATCTGTAGAGTAGATAAGATGAAAAAGATATTCAATAAAACTCTTTAATTAATTGAAATTAAATTTATAAAATCTACAGTCACTTAATTATAATAAGATAATTCTATAGAATCTTAACTTATAGTGAATTCTACATCTTCTAATAAGTATATAGATAATCTTTATATTCTAGATAGATGTAATAATGATTATTAATTAATTTTTGAAGATTACTATATTCAAAATATTTTCTTTACAGTGTGGTTTTTCATACACTGTGACACACTCACTACAGAGAGTGAGTAAGCATGACACGGTTAATTGATTGATAATGTAAGAAATTCTGCTTCTCACAGATTCTTTATCTCTATTTCTATCTCTCGCGTAATCAATAGAGTTAGCAGCTCTTGACTATACACAACTATATAAACTGAAGTTTGTGATTATTATTCATAACTCAGCTTGAATACTAATTATGTAGACTACTGAGGCAAAAGAGCTCAATCATTACCAGCGCACTGCTGATAGAAGGATTAATTAACCACGGAACTCTCAACACTCTCTCTCAGATCAGCTATCACAGAGTACAGTACTTCTCTCAGTGACTTTCTTCAGTGACTCTTCACAGTGACTTCTCACAGTGACTTCTCTTAGTGAACTTACTCAGTTTTAGAGCTCAAGAGACTTCTAGAGCACACTTCTCAGATATCTCTTAACACTGTTAAATATTTAAAGTATTTATTGAGAATTTTTAAGTTCATTCTGAGATTGAATCTATGCATGTTGATCACAGCAGAGCTCATACTTAACAGTCATATAATCTGTAGACTACTGAGGTAAAAGAGCTTGATCATCACCAGTGCACTGCTGATAGAAGAGCCGATCAACCGCGGAACTCTTAATAAATCATGCTGCTGATTACTCACTCACCTCTAGTAAGTGCATCACATTAAAATGATAAAAACACTGAAATAAAAAAATCTTGTAAATTTCAGAAAGCAGAAAACTTGACCTAGCTAAGTGCATTACTTGATCTTGTTATATAAGCTGATTTTATAAATTGTTAACTGTTACGGCTGTTGCGGTTAGCAATCTTACTAGATTATATAACTCATCACTATATTATACTCTTATAGATAAATTTATTAATACAATCTTTAACTATTCTATAGATTATAGTCTGAACAGCACATTTTTCTTTTTAAAATATTGTATTAATATTTTTACCAAGAGTAGTTCATCTTTTTTAAGAAGACTCTTACTGTAATATAACAGAATCAAAGTAATAACTAGTTAGTAATGTTATATAGAGGTAGTTGTTTAAGAAGCTGTATAAGTGAGCTTGACTATCTTGCTTAAATAGTGACCTTGTGAGCTACAGAGTTATTGTGAGAATATCACAGATATAATACTTAGTATACTAAGAAGATTATATAAGAAATATAGTAACTCTTGTATATATTTTAATAGAAGAAAAATGAATTGTTAACTTCTTTAATAAGAAGTCAGTATCTAGTTATTTTATATAGATAATGAACAGACACTCTTCTCTCATTTTATAAGTGAGAATAGCTGAAGTGATATCTCAGCAGTATCTTACTATTATAAAAGAGTAATCTGCTAATCTTATATAGAAGTGAGATTCTTATATTTATTAATTAGATCTTTCTATAATATATCTGAATAATGTTATAGAGTGATTGAAAACTGATTTAGATAAGATAAAATTATCTGTATAAAAGTAATAAGCTGTATAAAACTGTAACAGAGTCTTAACACAGTTAAAAGTGTAATAATACTCTTCTTTTTAAGAGCATAGTTCTGATACTCTTAAGATTACTGAATTAGAAGTTATCTTTATTATATAGCAATAATTAGACTAGCCGCTGAGATCATGAATTTCACATTTAATCTCATTTAATCTGATTTCATACATTTCTTAGTGTGAGTCTCATCAGAATCAAGCCTTAAAAAAATCTGAAAATGAATTATTTCTGAGAGAAATGATGTGAAAAATGACTAGATTTAATTCAAGAACAGTGAAATAAGAGTAATTTCTCAGAATAAACTGTGAAAGATAATCATTCTTCTAAAATCAAAATGAAACTGAGACTGAAGATTAAATTCAGTCTCATTCAATTTATTCAGTGATTACTTATATAATCAGAATTTAATAATAATTATTAATAATACTTATGAAACAACTAAATACATTCTTGTATAAGTTTATTCTTTACTTTTTTATAAAAACTACACTTCTCTGATATACTGTGATCAGAGATATTAAACTATCTAATAATTTCATATTTTATAATCATGAGTTTCTTAATTATTTCTTCTTATAATTATTCTCAGTGATAGTGATAAATATCTTGACTTGAGTTGAACTTTCACTTCATTCTCATCTCTATTAATGAAATTATCAGAATATCATATATTATCAGTATAATAGTTAAATATATACTCTTAATAATTTTTTATAACTCTAGAATTAATTTAGCATGTAAATTTGTTTAAATTATCTTGAAAATAGTAGTTAAATTTAGTTTTATA